CTTCAGGGGAGAATCTCCACCTGACGGACCTGCGTCTCCCTGTTTAGGGGCAGAGCTCTCATCCATCGATGCTCGCTGGAAGAGCTCTTGCAGAGACATTACTCGGGAGATTGGCTACGTCCTGGGGCTCGTGAGAGACGGCGCTGCGAGCTAGGAAGATGACGTAGCTATTTTCTTGAAGCAGGGGATCTTCGAGGGTACAGGGACTAGGGGGGTGGGAGTCATCACCAACATACCAGGCATCTGCTGTGCGTACAGCTGCACGGTAATGGCCACTAGTGGACTCCATTCCTAGGTGAATGATCACTGCCTCTACTGTGTAGGTACAGAACGAAACTCGGGATGTGTGGTCCAGGAAGACAGGGATCTGGACTTGCTGTGGGATTGTGATGCGAGTGTGATCCTTAGCTTCACCTGCGAATCTCGGCAAGGCTAAGCACACCTGCTGTGCAGCTTCTATGAGAGCACATGAGCGCTCCTGAGACGACCATGCCACTAGCATGTCCTGTAGGTTGGTCTTGATCGCCGTGGCAAGATGAATGGGAGAGCCCCCTTCTTCGTCCACTATCACGCCTTCCGGTACTGAGGCTCTAGTTTCCCACTGTCCAAATCTTGATGCAGAGAGATTCCGAAACACTTGCTGCAGGAACTCAGCAGAGTCGTGCTGGCCTCCGTCAAAGAGCCAGCCCATGGTGAGCTCCGAGAAGACTCTGTGTTCAGGGGTTATTCTCGCAAGCTGACTGATCCGGGATGCCTCTTGGAAAGTCGCCTCTGAAGGATCTGATAGCCAGTGGAGACACTGCAGACCTGAGTTGGCATAGCAGTGGTTGCGAGTATTGGCTAGCAGGAGAAAGCCTTCCAGTCTAAACACGGGGTGAGGAATTCCTGGCGTTGAATCTGAAGGCTTCTTTGTGACTGTCTTCGCCGATGCCGTGGACTTTGCTCGAGTATATTCGCGGGGCTGCTTGCTGAGCTGCTGGCGCGCTACCTCCTGCAGTACGTGCACCTGCAGTAATGGAACGCACTGCTGAGCATGTCTACCCGGGGCATCCACACGAAGTTTGCAGTATCGACAGCTATCTCCTTTGTGGAAGAAGACCTTGAATTGATTGAGTCTTGGTTGGAGAGTTTTCTCCAGCTTGGCCATCACCTCAGGATGCTGCTTGTTTAAATGCTGTTTGGCTCCTTTCTGGCCTACGAGGACCTGACCACAGAGTGCGCAGTGTTCCATCAGGTAATCATGGAACGCCGGATTTCGAGCGGCGCCTTCTGGATTGTCCTGGGCATCAGACTGTAGACTTTCTACGAGTGAGATCCGGTTCTGTGCTTCTAAGGGTAGCTCTTCCTGCTGTCTAAGCAAAAGCTCTACCCTAGGGCAGGTAGATGCTTCGACATGTTTGCGCAGATAAAACACTGTTCGGAATGTTGCTCGACAGGCGATGCAAGTTGCTGACCCTGGCATTGAATGCAAAATAGGATCAAATTTGGGTCCTTTCAGGCACTGCTGAGAATCTGGGTGAGCCTTCTGCAGGTGGCGACGGAGTGCTCCGGTGCCAGAGAGACATGCTCCACATTCACCGCAGGTCAGAAGCCTATCCTCCACATGGTGCGAGGAAAAGTCCGTGGAGAGGCCTTCCAATGCCTGGCTAACTGCCTCAGCACGCAACTTATAGTGTGGGAGAAGCTGGGGATCGGAGTGTTGCTGTCTCTTTATAAACTGGGTCATTCTCTTTTGCAGCTGCTCCTTCACGTGAGGAATCCGTAATCTCCGGAGTAACTCCTGGTTTGATTCCTTCGTTTCCTGGGAGTAACTCCGCAGGACGAATCTGAGTTGGTACATCATGTGTGAATGGAGCTTTTGCAATCCCTGCTGTGTCATCCCCACCACGTGGAGTGCATACAGAGCAGAGGCCCACGCAGTTATTGTCCAAATCGACAGACGACGTCTGTCTGATAAGACTCGGTGGTTCCGAACTGCATGGGCTACTTCTGACATTGCAAGCTTACTGGATGACAGCCGATGTTTGAGAGTCTTCATTTCATAGTCGTGATAAGAAAGAATGACCCCCAAGTATGGGACCTGATAGCGCAGCGATATCAGCCTGCCCGAAGGGAGTTCAACATACTTCTCTCCCTCGACCTGGCGAAAGAGTTTCTTCCTAATGGTCGAGGCTGAGCCCCCTTGCAGCTGTAGCAGAATTGCTGACTTGGACGGATTGACCTTGAACCCAAGCTCTACCAGCTGATCCAGAAGCAGGTCGCAGTACCCTAGTGCTGTCATGAGGCCGGCCTCAGAGTCGAAATGCGACTGGATCAAGCTATCATCTGCGTACATTGTGAGGAGCTTCACTAGTTCTGCTGGGCTGATTTTCCCAGAGAGCTTCCTAAAGAGAAGCCCTGATGCAAAGGCGAATAAAGAGGGTGCTAGCTTACATCCCTGCTTGATTCCCCTGCGTGTGGCTATCTCAAAGCTCTGATCGCTGGCTGTCATCTTATACAAGGCTTTGATGTGGAGATGGCCTACCACCTCTATCAGAAGAGGATCTGCTTGTTCGGCTTCCAGGGCCTCTCTTAATCGCAGCCTGTTTACAGTGTCAAAAGCTTTGCTCATGTCCACGCTCATGGTGAGACTGCCTCTGAGCTTGAGCCCCTGTTGTCCCTTACCTGCAGCCCTAGTGGTGAGGGCCTGTCTGAACCTGGCCTGGTCCACATGTGTGAGGGCCTTGCAGATAGCCTCCTCTGTGCCCCTGCCTGGGACAAAGCCGAACTGAGAGACGCCGGTCATTGCTAGCTGGAGGGTAGACTTGAGTCTCTTCCTCACGAGTCCGGCTAGGACCTTACCCTCAGGTGCTATCACCCCGATCGGACGGAGTGAGGTTGGTTTGTCTGGCTTCTTGGGAGGCTTTGGGAGCCAGGAGATCTGTGACGAGGTGACACTGTCCGAGAGCCTTCCTGCAGTGACTTCCCTATTAAGGGTGTCCGAGATTAGCCGGATTGCTTGGGGACCTAGGGAGCGCCAGGCTACTACGGGAGGACTCTCTTTAGGAACCGCCTTGCCCAGCTTTATTGTGCCAAGCTGTTCTTGCACTTCTTGCTCAGTGATGTGCAGGCTGCCTTGTATCCCTGAAAGCGGGAAGTCATCCCCTGCTCCAAACAGGTCTAGGGAATATTCCTCTAATTGTCTTCTTTCTTCCTTGGCAGTAAGGAAGCGACCCTCAGAATCACGAAACTGAACTCTTTCCTGGGGCCTCCCCGACCTGAAGCGCTTGATTACCTTGTAAAGGGAATGACTCCCGTCCTGCTTGGACTTAAGCTCTGCCTGCTGGAGTTGTTCATCTATTTCCTGCCGCCGCCGCTCCTGCTTGTGACGCTTTGCTACCCTCGCCTGTGCACTTTGCTGGGAGAACGAGCACCAGCATCGGAACACCATACGGACCTGCAGCTCGGGCAAGAACTCTGCTAAGACCTTGACTGCTAGTGGGAGTGAGCGCAACACAGAGCGCTCTTCCCAGATGCTGAGATCTGATCTTTGTGCTGCTTCCTTTCTCTTGGGAAAGTGAGTCGCGAGGGCTGAGTTCATTGCTTGATGGAGACTCTGCCAGGTTTGGGGATGATCCTGAAGGAGGGAGTCTACCTCCCTGGCAAATGCCTGTATTTTCGGGGAACGGTGTCTGTAGCAGTCCTCCATTGCCTGCTGGTCATAGGGTTTTGAGGCTTGGGCGGAGTATCTCCTGCTGTGCCTCAGTTTACCAAGAAGGGGGAAATGCCTACTACCATCCCTCCAGGATGCAACTGGGAAGGTCCTTAGTGGCCGGCAAAACCTGGCGGGGCCTTGGGACTGTGCAATCCTGACAAACGAGAAGTCAATCTGTGAAACAGAGTTGCCTTGTTCGTGGGTGGCTGGTCTATGCACTCCCCAAGTGTTGGTTGCGACTAGCTGGTGCTCCGACAGTAGGGTCTGGAGATCCTTAGATCCGCGATGCCCGAGTCTGCAAGCCTGGATCGTGCATGGCCCTACGTGTTTGTTGTCGGTTTTGAGCGAGGAGTTAAAATCTCCTAGCACAAGGAGAGTGTTGCGATTGGGAACAGCTCGGATGGACTTACTTAGGGAGTGAAGGGTCTGCTTCCGGGTTTCCTTATTCTGAGCGACTGTCTCCTTGAGCGCCAAACGTATTGATAGCAGCTGAAGACGTCCAGTGAGATGCCGTTGCTCGGCACCCGGACCTGGAGAACTCTTCCTGGAACAACCTCGTTGTAGCGAAGATCCTGTGACTTGCACAGCGTGGAGTGCACCATTATGAGGACCCCGGCTCCCTTCTCCCCTGTGGAACCAGAGCTGATCACGTGCCAGCCTGACTTGCTGAATTGCCAAGAGCCCCTCCAGTGTGTTTCCTGAATTGCTACCAGCTTCACATCCTGAAATGCGGCACTTTGCAGTACGGAGAGTAACTCTTCCCAAACTGCTGTTGTGAGAGATCCTGCGTTCCAGGATAGATAGCTGAGATTCTTATCTTCTGTAAATTTCGAAGGCCGAGTCCTTCTGCCGGGATTGGTGGGCTTTACATGTGCCGGAGCAACTCCAAGCTCTGTTGACGACATCGTCCTTCCCTTGTAGACCGCACTACCTTCAAGCAGAGCTTTACGTGCTGCCCTTTGATAAGAGCGTTTACCCTTCCCTTTAGGAACGGGCTGATGCTTGGTCGAACCACTAGGCTGTTTCGCAGCACTCATGTTGAGTACGGCTCCTGTCGGCTTCGCAATACCGACAACCCTCACCTCTGGGAGATGTTAGAGAGCTGTAAATCTAATACTCCCTCCCGGACTTGGGACCGGGACTGCTCAGGCGCTGACAAATGCCATGGCAAGAAAGGAAAAAGGCAACTGTACTAGCCTGACCTTTCCTGAGCCGAGAGGCTTACAACAGCAACAACAGCAACAGCAGCAACAACGACGACGACGATGGCCTGCAAATGCCTGCGTACAGATACCGACATAGGCCGTCAACGTCTTGAGATAACTCTGGCATGATCATGACCTCTGATTGTGCAGTTTTGGTCCTGGTTGAAGGCAAGCCAAACCTTGCTCCAGTTGTCCACAATTTGCCTGGCAAAAGACCCAGTCAGCAGATGAAGAAGCTGCAACGCAAGGGTTTGGGCACCTGTAAATGAAGTATGCGCCGACCATGAGCAGCAACAACCTCGCATCGCAACGCAGCCCAGCTGCTGTGAAATCAAGGCGGCTGCTGAGCCGCCGTACGTCCAAATATCGAAGTATTGGAGAAGGTGAATCACAGCCTCGATTGCAGACCCCATCCTATGAATACATGCCACTCGAAAGCATAGGATGTGTAGGCCAAAGGCATACAATCCTCCAAAAGAGCCAGCGACCTGTTTCATCGACCTCAGCTTCCACGCTGCGCCGCTAGTGCACTGAGTGAGTAGAGGACGTCGGAGGACCAGGCAACTCTTCGCTTCTCTTTTGCCGCAGTGTGCGATGATATTCCTTAAGACCAGCAGTCGACGAGCATACGACGCCCGGGGTCCAGAATTTCATTGCTAACACGACAGGACCCCAACTTTGAATCGCTCCGGCATAAACATGTTGGCAAGTCTTTTGTCGTCCTTCGGATGCAACATGGTATGGCGGCATGGGAGGGAAGCAAAGGAAACACTAACAGAGACACACCAGACACAGAGCGAAAACTGTCCGCGGACCATGTACGAAATTGTCGGCTCGGTCCTTGGAGAAGCCTTGAAACACGCAGTGCTTGGGCCCAAAACCAAGAGCAGACTGTTCAGACGAAGATCCAACCACCTTCCAAGTCAAAGCCATGCCAATGTCAGTTCGAGATATCTTTTTGATCGCTAACAAACTCGTCTGTGGGTCTTTGCTGGGCGTAGCCCAAGTTCTCAAGCATGGCCTTGCAGCGCTTGGTGCATTCGCAAGAAATGCTACTTCTGCACGCCCCCTCCGGAGGTCTTAAACGGCAAGTTTTGGATCGTCAGCTGCGAAGTCTTCTCACTTTGTGCGCTTGCAGCTCGCGGCTTCTCTGCTGACCTGAGTGGAGTCACGATCAATGAGTGGCTCTGGCAGCCCTGACTGCCGTTTGCGGTCGTGCTGAAACTTTACAAAGTCTGAGATCTGTACTCTACGAGTCACTTGCTTTTACCTCCGCCCCCTCCTGCACTGTCAGAAGCCTGTCCACAAGAATCTTGGCGAAAGGCAACAAGTTGGTTGCGAAAGATTCCTGCCTTCTTCTCCTCTGCCAGGCGCTGCTTCTCGCGCATGATCGCCTCGAGTCGCAAGCCGTCTTGTGAAGCGCTGGTCTGAGCATGAGGTCACCACTGCAGTATCTTCTTTGCTCTTGATAGTCGAATTTGTCTTGGCACCTCGGGCTGAGAAGTGTTATCAAGAGAACATGACACAAGGCGCGACTCTCCACACTTGGCCTGCATTACGGTTGGCCGCTCGCTCACGGTCGCGATCGCGCTGGTTCCCACGAGTCATGCTGTCTAAGCCTGCATGCGCGCTGATGTCTGGCAGCAGTCAGCAAAACAAACCATTGAACCCACGGAGAACAAGAAACAAGAACAGGCACACCTTTGCGTGAAGCTAGTGCCAAGATGTGCGAAGGCATGCAAACGAACTTATTCCGACGACCTTTCGATGATTCAAACACACCGTTAGTATTTAACTTAAATACGAGTCTACACGAGCAGGCTACAGCCCCACGGTCCCAGCACCCACGTGATCTACAAAGCATGACGTGCATGTAGCACCCTGCGGTGGCATAGCTTCATGCTTGCCACGAAAGCTCAAGTAATTGCTGTTTTCACGGCCATTTAGGAGATGGATGCTTGGAAGAAAGACCCGGCCCATTAACGAAAGTATCTCAAAGCGGTGAAGTCAACTTTGTGAATCATAGGTCGTTTGTGGAACTGTAAGCGTCCGTCCGCATGGAGGCACCAACCAGCTTCAGCCTAAATTACATAGAAAGAGCTTGCTGGCATAATCACATACGTCGTGGGGCGAAAAGATATGCCGAAAATCAGCTAGCAAGATATCCACGACACAAATGATTGCCGATTGCTTGTGTCAAAGGAGCCTCGGAGAATAGATATTGTCAGAGAGACGACAAAAGCCACACATGCCGCCCGTCTTCAGCCAGGGTAGTAAAGGCGTAAGACGTCGTCTCCAGGAAAGAGTAGGCATGCACCAGCGTTGCATGAGCAGTCGGACCATCGCCAAGAGCAAACATGAGAAAGGCTTGTCTGTCAGGATGTGCAAGGCCCACATCATGACATATCGTATTGTTACACGAGGTACTCCAGGGAGAAGAATGCACCGGAACAGGCTGAAAGCCACAACAAAGTAATCAGTTTGGCTCATGCCATAAATCGGTGCTGCACGATGCATGGATGCATAAAGCACACCAGATGCCTGCCGATCTCTATGCATGTTTACATTTCAATATGGTACGCTGGTTTCTCACTCGCAGCACACGCATTCTTTCCGCATCTTGTAATCGCCAGCGGAGCCCCTAATGCCAAGAAATCGGCATTGGAAGTCACGGCAGGGGCACCTCGCATGTTTCATATGCAGCCTCTTGCGATCTCTGACGTAACAAAAGCACCCCCAGCTCCGAATTCCGATTCCTTTGCCTTCCAGCTTGGGAAGCTTGACGGGGTGCACCGAACCCTTTTTTCGTCTTCGATCGTGAGAGAAGCGAAGTTAAGTTTGAAGAATACACAACCATCATCCACAAGAACACAGCGGATGCATATTAAAGAAATTGGAGAAATGTCATGCACTGCCTATGTTTCCCCTTCAAGATCCTGCTGAAGCACCACCCAACAACGGCACGGGCGTTCAAACGTCTTTCAACGATTCTCTTCGGTTCTCCCCAGCAAGAACCTACCAACGGAGACAAAGTGCCTGCCTGCAGGCGGGAAGTGAAGCTGAGCGTGAAGGTTTGAACCAAGCACTTCGGGCAAAAGCAAAACTCAAAGCAGTGGGCTCCAGATGCACGGCCAGCATGCAAGCCAGCTTCTGCCACCCCTTCTTCGCTTTTCTGCGCGCGAACCGTGAGAACGGAAAGCAGAGGTCAGTCGCAGCAACTTCGGTGTGCTCGGCTGCTCGTCCTCTCGTCTTTGGGGGCGACGAAAGTGCCTTCCGACAGTCTCAGACTGTGTCTTGGACTCTTGCTGCCGTCGGCTCTTCGTGGGCTCTTCGTCGGCTCCGCCTTCACAGAAGTTCTTACTTGCCGACGACCGGATCGTACCTCCAGAGGCATAATGTACCAGTGCTCACGTGACCTGCAACTTGCAATGGCCTTCCCGGAGTGCCCGTCACTGCACGCGTCAATCCAGGAATGTTGAGGGTTCTGATTGCAAGAGCCTCCAATCCAGCTATTCAACGAAGCTACTTCAATCAGTGCACGACCATGCACGACCTCCATCATCTTGTAGACTTCATGTTTGGCTTTCGCCACGGAGACCTGTGTTGGACCTGACTTGGCAGTCGTTTCAAGGAGTACGTCATCAAGAGAAACCTCCCGGAGGCCAGCCTATAATCTCAACGTACAGCTTCTTTGCACCTGGCACGAGCAAGAGACTGTGCAGCGGCCTTGCATCAACGTAGACTTCGGTGCTGGCGACATCAACACAGCCTTCAGGCATTCGTGCTGCTGAAGCGAAGTGTTGGCCCTTGACCTGGTCATGCAGCACTAGGGCGAAAGATGGCGAAAGTACATCCCGAGAGCTCCAGCCTGTAATTTCGCACCAGTCATCTCTTCGATTGCGACAAGCGGATCCTCCACAATGTGTACAGAAGGTCGTTATTACTGCGGAAAAAAGCATGACTGTGTCACCCTCTCTAGCAACCGGGCAAAGTATCTCAGTCAGCCAAAGTCCCGATGCGTGATCTTCTGTCGCGCAATTTGCGGGTAGTCATTGATCTCGAGCTCATCACTGCACATTCCAGCAGGAATGTCCTGTCCAAACACAACACGTGGGACTACGAGCTCCGCATGGAACGCACCGGCCTTTGAACCGAGCATCTTCGCAGCCTTACGGCGGAAAGCTCTGTAGGAACTTTTGTGCTCTGATTTGTCTCCCCAGAGCCCGAGCCTTTTCCTCCGCAAGGTGCGCGGTCCCCGCGCCAGGCTTAGCCTCAGAGCAGCGCATGCCGGCACTGCGGTGCAGCGAGGTTGTGATACCTCGCAATTCCTCTGTGAAGCGCACGGCTTGCGCCTGCAGCGACTCGATGGCACTAGTGACCTGGCCGGCGCTTCTGCGCTCGAACACAGTGACAACACCTGACACCAGTGATCAACAGAGACAGCACGACCATGCTTGCCTCAGCAGACAGAAAGACTTGGGTGCACAAGGTCTCGGAAAAGAGAGTCCAGCCAGTCTACGTACTTGCGTATGTTGCTGCGTCAGGTGGTTGACAACAATCCATTATTGGACGTGGTAGTGTGGAAATTGCAAAACCTCCATACCCACACGTCCAACTTTGCAGATAAGATACTTTGGCCGGCACCAAGCCTTGTCCCAAAACTCCGGGAACCAATGGAATAGCCTGCGATTGACGAACCACCCTGGTAGATCTCCATATAGTCTTAACAATTCATGCTCTGCTAGACCAGAGTGTAGCGTGTAGCGAACAGACTATAACCTAAGCGGCTTTGCCGAGATCGAGGGAAAGCATTGCAGCGTGTTCAATCATCTCAACGGAGGGAAGAGGAGCGATGCAGGTAAGGCGGACGGTACCCAGCCAGGATGCCATCCCGCGTCACGACTGCGCAGAAATATTTCACAGCAAAACATTGCAAAGGACAGACATGACAAAGCAGCTCTGCAGAGGCTTGAGGTTTTTACTCTATACGAATCCACATGAAAACATCGAAAAAAAAACGCAGCCTAACGCCACATTCTCGAACCAAGAGGTGGCGAACAGTTGGAAGATGTGCGGGACAGCTCAAGTTCCCCTGGCGGCACATACTCTAAGGCTGAAAGCATCCAAATAGCACTTGGCTGGGGTAACAGCTTGCTAACAACTCAGTTGAATTGGGTTGGTCCTACAGGGAACGTTGACGACAGACGCCAGCTTCCATAGCCGTGTGAACCATGCCCAGGCAGGCAAATGACACAAAAGGCGGGAGCGTGATGCAGTGATGGCACACTGAGAGCACGAGTTGCAGATGCTGATGCAATCACTACTACTACTACTACTACTACTACTACTACTACTACTACTACTACTACTACTACTACTACTACTAAAACTACTACTACTACTACTACTACTACTACTACTACTACTACGACTACTACGACTACTACGATGACTACTACGACGACTACTACGACGACTACTACTACTACTACGAGTACGACTACGACTACTACGACTACTACGACTACTACTACTACTACTACTACTACTACTACTACTACTACTACTACTACTACTACTACTACTACTACTACTACTACTACTACCTACTACTACTACCTACTACTACTACTACTACTACTACTACTACTACTACTACTACTACGACTACTACTACTACTACTACTACTACTACTACTACTACTACGACTACTACTACTACGACTACTACGACTACGACTACTACTACTACTACTACTACTACTACTACTACTACGACTACGACTACTACTACTACTACTACTACTACTACTACTACTACTACTTCTACTACTACTACGACTACGACCACTACGACTACTCCTACTACTCCTACTACGACTACTACGACTACTACTACTACTACTACTACTACGGCACGGGCATGTTTCCAGAACCCTGGGCCAAACCCTGTGCCTTCATGGCAGGGGTCGGTGGAGGAGGTTCCGGCTCTTTCCTCGGATGGAGCTGCTAGACAGGACCACGTCTGCAGGTCGGAAGCCTCTGCTGGCAGAAGTCTGCCAAACTTTCTGCACAGCAACTCGCGTGAAAACGTGCCTGCATGAACTGTCATCTCCCACCCGCCTAAGGCCTAAGAAATCAAGTCGTCGTTGCCGTAGGGGCCAAACTACTGAGTGGGTGGGGCCAACTCTGCCAAGTAGCACCTCAGCCACGGGTGGCGGTGCCGGAACTGCCACTACTTCATCCATCTTTTCCTCGCAGCAGCTCCCAGGATGCCATGTTGCAGAATGTTGCACAAAAGCAAACTGCGAGCTGCGGCCGGTGCACCTGCTCGGCTTTCCTCAGTTTGTTCACCAATTTCTCAATTAGCGCTGGCAGCTGCTTCTCCTGCACCTGACTACGGAGCTCAAGCGGGCAGCTGCAAATTGAACAGAAATGCTAGCTGGCGCTGACGGCGCCTCTTCAGGAAGGCTCTTCAAAGTGTCTTGGGCCATCTGGCGAGCTTGCTCCTGCAAGAGACCGCAAGCGCAGCGAGCACTGGCGAAGCTCAGACTGCGCCGTGCGCCTGTATCTCTTTTTCAGATCTTTTCGGCATCGCCTCAACTTGCAGAGAGCAAGAACAGTGTTGACCTGCAGGATCCCAGGTGCCTTGGTTTTGAGGGACGGAGAAGGCTGTGGAGCAGCCCCTGGCAGACTTTAATGCCGACACGAATTGAGCGATGATCCCTTGCAGGCCTGCGTTGGCAGGTGCGGCCTCAAAGACTCCCGTCTAGATATGCCACAGCAATGCTGACATCTGGGTGCTCGGCGTCCTCTGTCCCTCCATTGAGCTTGGCCTGGCCACAGGATGCATGAAGCCTTTGGCGGAATTGAATTGACTCATAATGACTGATACACCGGTTCATGGGACGGATGCAAGCCCCTTCTCATTTGCAGCTCTACTTCCAGTCGCGTTCGGTCGCTCCGCTTCGCACTCTTGCTTCGAGCAAGTGCTTTGCTCAAGAGCTGCATGCAATCTGGAGCTCAGGAAACCGATCAGATGTGCAATACGAGCCAGACCTCACAGCAGTGCTGCCCGATTAAGATTAAGCCTCACCGGTCATAACTCGTTTCGCCCAGAAGAAGCAAGGCAAAAAACAGCAACTACATAATGTTGCCTCATCACACACTACAACTGCCTACTTCTTAGACGTGAGATCGCACAATGCCTTGATGCCCCGATGTCCTGCCCCTTGTAGCACTCAACCCGATGTCGGTCTGACAGATACTTAGTTGAGCTAATTTCAGCAAATGGCGTGCACTTGTGGCTGCCTTATGGGGAGGTCTGTACATTGTATCCCGGCTTAGGCCTACTCATCCCATCGGCCATCAACTCACGCGTGACTGCGACTTTGAAAGATGAAAAGTGTCCTGAGCTTGCAGGACTGTGGGACCAGGAAGTGCGGCGTGCACTCCTCTGGGGGGGGGCGGGGCAGATGCAGATAGATGCAGTACAAAGCTCCTGCGGTCCGCAAGATGCGAGGACTGGTGCAGAGCGCGACTGCAAAACAGCTGGAGCAAAGCCGAAAACCCCCGACCCAGCTCGCAAAAGCGGGTACCGTAACTCAGTTTTCCCTGCAGGTCGCCCCCGGAAATATTGCAAATAGTTTGCACTGATTAAGCTCACTTCTCTGTCACTTCACAACCCCTGGGCATCTTGGCCCTTGGCGCCCCGCACTAGTCCATGACTTCTGTGATCCCGTTTCGATCGCCGTCTCTCAGCCTTTGAGCTGGAAAAATGGCGATGACGAAGATCATCTTCAAGATGACAAGGATGACGAACGTGATTGGTGAACTCGGGGTCGGGAATTAAATGCTCAAACTTCGCGCCCGAGGGCCGGACACTTTTGGATTACTCCAACTGTTTGAAGTATTCAACTTATGGATTTTGCTCGTCCGAAAATGTACTGCGCTCTCATCAGTATATACGTATATATGACGGCGCACTACGGCTAAGGCGTTAGAGCCACCCCGGACTCGAGAACCTTCACATGCAAGTCTTCCGGCAGCACAGAGCTCTGATGAGCTGTGGTCTCCAACAATGAGCAAAGGCACGCTGGCCCACGGAAAGGGCAGCATAGACATTGAGGCTGAACATCGGCCAAGGAACATCTTGTACGAACTTCTGACAAAGGAGATTCGGAAGATCTCTGGCATTCAGCCATAGCTTGGCACCAGGTAGGAACTCGGAAACCTCCCATGCAGCATCATGCAGACACTGTGTGCATGCGACATTCTCGTTGCGGCCAGGCGTTGCTGCCTCGTGTTCTCTTGCGCTTCCTCCTGGTGATGGACAGTTCTCGAGCAACTCTTCTGGGGAGGCAGAGATCATCTTGAAATGGGTCCTGCGTCTTTGAAACGCATTCCGCAGTCTCCAAACGTCTCCAAGCTGCACACATGTCACGGCCTTGTAACCCCAATGTGACAACTAAGCGTCCTTCGGTTTTCAGGCCAAAGTGCGACGACCAGAGCACCATAGACGAGTGCATTGCTTCCTTTCGTGATTGACAGGCTGACAATGTACCAAACGTACCTTGGTCTCCACATCTGCTTCGTCGCGCAGAGCTCGCTCCAAAGTCTGTACTGCAGGAGTGGTGAACCCGAATTAGACTGGACAAGAGATGTGAGCATCGACATGGTACTTATCAGGCAAAAGGTCGCCCCACCACGAGCTCCCGATGCCTACGGGCCTACCTCGCACTTTCAGTTGCGCCAACTAATGGGTCAAGTCACCCAAGTGACACTATTTTCGCTTGGTAAGGGCGAGGGCAGAACGTTTTCCACCCATTGGTTGTCCTTTGTCTGCGCATCATGTATGGCTATGAAATCCGTACTTGTTGCATGGGTGTAACAGCCCTCTGTTCTGTCTCAACTCGATTTGGGCCCGTGCCTATCAGCCGGTGCTTCAGACCACGCGTACATACTGGGATTAGTGATCAGCTTACACATGGAGGAGGGAATGGCAGGATGTCCCCTCAGAGGGCTCAGGCCTGGCGACCTGCACACAAACTCAGCCTGAGCCAAAAATCTCTACACCATGTGCAGCCGTCGGACGGTGCCAGCAGGATCTTGGAGAGTGCTGCAGAGAAGGGCAGAGCTCCGAACCTTTGAGATCTCCAAAAAGATGCAGTGCGCAGTCCGAGCCGAGCCCATCCGAGCCCCTTGCCAGCAACCGAAAGCGACTCCCCAACGGCGGTAGAAGTAGCTGTCTGCACGCCCAGACTGCAGACAAGCAATGCCAGAGCATAGCATGGCAACATGAAAACTTGACTGCTTGCTTCTGCTCACCTCCTGTGACAAGGTTGTGCGAACGTTGAAGCCGTAGAAGGCCAGAAGCGCCAGGTCAACGGCAATCACCGCACAGCCGCAAGGGGTGGTATACACCTGTTGGGTTTCCAACCCTCTTTCTCTCTCGGGAAGCAAAGATATCCAGAGCCGTCCCTCTAAGACACCAGCATAGTCAGAGCTGTAAGTGCGTGAAGTTGCAAAATCCTTGGTTATAGATAATTTTTTGGCAAGTGCTTTACATGCGACACAGCCACCGAAACTATGTAAGCCCCTGGCTCCCCAAAGCTCCAGCAACAGGCAAGATAGCAGGAATGGACCGAGAATCGTGAATATCCTGCACTTCAACTGATCGCAAGTAGCACAGCCAAACTTCAGGATTCCCGCATCTGTACAGAGGGCGAGGGCATCAGACTTGTCATTCGTGTGGAAGCTCCAGGCTCCCAACACAAAGAAAACTGTGAGTTTCGCATTCGATCCCGACACAATCAATGGAAGTGTCGCAGAGTTCATGCGGCCATCGGGTTTTTGTTGTGATCGGGATCGTCTTCACAATGACAATGGACATCCACGCCAAAACGAAGTCCCGCTCCATGGGGACGATGAGGACGAGTCTTGTCATCATGGGGTGCTCTCTCTTTCTTTCACCAGCTCTCTCTCTCGCAGGGCGTAAGGCGCTGGCTGGTTAGACTTGTTGGCCGCATGGGCCCCTCATGAGTTCATTGAGTGGGTGTGATAGCATGGTTGGCGTCCCCCTCAAGATTGCACGCGAAGTGTATTGGACTATGACTACGACAAACTTCAACGGCATCAATCAAATCAACCTTCGGACAAGTGCAATACCTGGGGAACTTGTGTTGTCATCGAAAAAGATATCGGAACATCAACACTGTACATCTGCTGTAAGTCCCTCACCTCTCTCTTTTTGCTCCGGGGTTTTGAGAACGGGCAGTCCCCGTTTCGTCAAAGCGGCGCCATCCACCATTTTGGTTGGACGGGCGTAGCTGTGTGCCCAGTAACTAAATTTTTGGCCCGGCTTTTTTTGGCATTCTGCTCCTCTCCTTCTCTTGCTTGCTTGCTTGCACAGTTTCTGGAGGGCCGCTTGTGGAGACGAGTGCTCACGAGCGCCACGCGCTTGTCCGTGTCTGTGAGACTTCGGCTTTGAGCTTTGCCACATTGGAGCCCCGTTGCATTGTTGCTAACCGTTTCAGCCATGTAGGCATCCTTGGGCAGCTCGTGTGGCTCGGCTGTCTGTGCGAGAGGTGTCTGCCCCAACATTGTCGAGATACGTATCGGTGCCTTTTGTAAATGGACGAGACGGGAAAACAAACAGCATGCAAGAACCGCATAACACGAGGCAAGTCCCTTTCCCTCTCGCTCGCTCTTTCTCTCTGCTTTGCTTGGCCAAAGGGCAAGAAGGATAGGTCGGAATTCATCTTCCCCCGTCCTTGCGGGCCTGCACTGGAAGAAGATGGAAGAAGTTTCCCCCCATCCTGGGGGTCGTCTCTTGCTGGCAACGGAGGCCGCATGTCTTCAAGGTACAGCCATTCAGGAGTGATGGGGGCCTCCATCTTCCTCCTTTCGCTGTCAGCCACAGACTCATCTTGTATGTCTGCTGGATGCCAACTGACGTCCTCATCTTCAGCCTGCTTCCCCCAGTTTGAGGTATCCTGGTCGCTGGCGGTGGCTTTGGGCCGTAGATGAGGGGGAGCATCCTTCGGCAGGTGCTGGCCTCATAGTCAACAAATCCAGGGTGGCTGCTCATCAGCGTCGGTGTAGCCAGAGGAGCCCGCTTTCTTTCCAAAATTTCAACACGTCTGGAGGCTGACGGCCCCGTCACGACTTTAACTTCACGTTGTTTTTAATGGTTTTGCTATGTTTTACTGACGATCTGATGTCTCGCTGCTTGGCCATGAAAGCCACATCGGGGTTATCGGGGATTCTCACGTATACTGCTTTCTCATGCCTGGTAGGCAACTGCAGAGACCCAGCTGCCCGAAGAGTACCAATGTAGCGCGTAATTTGCGAGGTCGCCCTGCAGGCCAGTCACGAAATCGACGTTGCTATAGCCCTCCACCCAGCGAACCGGCACTTCAACAGCAGACGGGGGACCGGGAGACGACCTATATGGCTTCCAGCAACAAGAACTTCGCTACGTCCCTCGAAGGAAGACGCCCGGAAAAAAAAATAAAAACTTTTGCAGCCTTCCCGATCTGCTTGTTGAAGAAGTGTACCGGAAGTGACGTTGAGCTCGGAAGCAACTACCCTGTCTAGATTGCTTCTTGGGGAAAGGGGAAGGATCGGGCCCTCCAAGGTCACAGCAGACAGGCCTGTTGCCCCGGTTCCCCCTTTTGTCGGGAGCCGAGCCTTCCGACCTCTTGGTGGAAGTTTGCTTGATGGAGCATGCCAGCAGTGGTTGTATGCATGCCCCTGTGTTGGCTCCGACCTTTCATGCACTGATCGCAAGCGGCATCGCAGCTATTCTGTGGCACTGGGTACTTGAGGAGGAAAAAAGGTGTTTGTTGCCTTTCATAGTCGGCATCTGCATTGCGCGTACTGAGTTCTGACTTTCGTTTCGCTCAGGCCCCTTTTGACGACTGTCCCTGCCTCAACAGCTTTTCTTCGCTGTGCTCTGGCCCCTATAGGGCCCAGACAGTGTCTTGCACAGGTCTCGAGTCTGGTCTTTCTCCTGGTCCTTGTCTTGTCCTAGACCAAACCCTAGCCCTAAGGGTTGTTCGGGCTGTGTTTAAACCCAAACCCTAGCCCCAAGGGTTCGGGCTGTGCTCCGGGCAACCCTTAATAACCCTAAACCCTAGAACCCTAAACCCGAATCCTAATCCCTAAACCTCAATGCTGAATCCCAAACCCCCGAAACCCTACACCCTGTATCCCAAACCCTAGCCCTAAAGGGTTGTCCGGGCTGTGTTCCGGGCAACCCTTAATAACCCTAAACTCCAGAACCCCAACTTTCCCCGAATCCTAATCACTAAACCTCAATCCTGAAACCCCAACCCCCGAAACCCCCTAAACACTAGAACCCCAAGCCCGAATCCTAATCCCTAAACCTCAATCCGGAACGCCAAACCCGTGAAACTCTAAACCCTATATCCCAAACCCTAGCCCTAAGGGTTGTCCGGGCTGTGTTCCGGGCAACCCACAACAACCCTAAACCCTAGAACCCTAAACCCGAATCCTAATCCCTAAACCCAATCCTGAATCCCAAAACCCCGGCAACCCTAAACCCTGTGTCCCAAACCCTAGCCCGAAGGGTTGTCCGGGCTGTGTTCCGGGCAACCCTTCATAACCCTAAACCCCAAAACCTCAACCCCGAATCCGTCCAGGCAGCCCTTAATAACCCTAAACCCCAGAACCCCCATCCCGAATCCTAATCCCTAAACCTCAATGCTGAATCCCAAACCCCAAACCCTAGCCCTAAGGGTTGTCCGGGCTGTGTTCCGGGTAATCCTTGATAACCCTAAACCCTAGAACCCCAACCCCGAATCCTATCCCTAAACCTCACTCCTGAATCCCAAAACCCCCGAAACCTTAACCCTATATCCCAAACTCTAGCCCTAGAGGGGTTGTGCGGGCTGTGTTCGGGGCAACCCTTAATAACCCTAAACCCTAGAACCCCAAGCCCGAATCCTAATCCCCAAACCTCAATCCCGAATCCCAAACCCCCGAAACCCTAAACCCTGTATCCCAAACCCTAGCCCTAAGGGTTGTCCGGGCTGTGTTCCGGGCAACCCTTAACAACTTTAAACCCTAGAACCCCAACCCCGAATCCTAATCCCTAAAGCTTAATCCTGAACCCCAAACCCCCGAAACCCCTGTACCCCAAACCCTAGCCCTAAGGGTTGTCCGGGCTGTGTTCCAGGCAACCCTTAATAACCATCAACCCAAGAACCCCAACCCCGACTCCTAATCCCTAAACCTCAATGCTGAATTCCAAACCCCCCGAAACCCTAAACCCTGTATCCCAAACCCTAGCCCTAAGGGTTGTCCGGGCTGTGTTCCGGGCAACCCTTTAAAAAAACCACAAGCCCGAATCCTAATCCCTAAACCTCAATTCTGAATCCCAAACCCCCGAAACCCTAAACCCTATAGCCCAAATCCTAGCCCTAAGGGTTGTCCGGGCTGTGTTCCGGGCAACCCTTACTAACCTTAAACCCTAGCACCCCAACCCCGCATCCTAATCCCTAAATCTCAATGCTGGGTCCCAAACCCCCGAAACCCTATATCCCAAACCCAGCCCTAAGGGTTGTCCGGGCTGTGTTCCGGGCAACCCTTAATAACCTTAAACCCTAGAACCCCAACCCCGAATCCTAATCGCTAAAGCTTAATCCTGAACCCCAAACCCCGAAACTCTAAACCCTATATCCCAAACCCTAGCCCTAAGGGTTGTCCGGGCTGTGTTCCAGGCAACCCTTAATAACCGTAAACCCAAGAACCGCAACCCCGAATCCTAATCCCTAAACCTCAATGCTGAATTCCAAACCCCCCGAAACCGTAAACCCTGTATCCCAAACCCTAGCCCTAGAGGGGTTGTGCGGGCTGTGTTCGAGACAACCCTTAATAACCCTAAACCCTAGAACCCCAACCCCGAATCCTAATCCCTAAACCTCAATCCTGAACCCCAAACCCCCGAAACCCTAAATCCCAAACCCTAGCCCTAAGGGTTGTCCGGGCTGTGTTCCAGGCAACCCTTATTAACCGTAAACCCAAGAACCGCAACCCCGAATCCTAATCCCTAAACTTCAATGCTGGATTCCAAACCCCCCGAAACCGTAAACCCTGTATCCCAAACCCTAGCCCTAAAGGGTTGTCCGGGCTGTGTTCCCGGGCAACCCTTAATAACCCTAAACCCCAGAACCCCAACCCCGAATCCTAATCCCTAAACCTCAATCCTGAACCCCAAACCCCCGAAACCCTAAATCCCTAATCCCTAAACCTCAATCCTGAACCCCAAACCCCCGAAACCCTAAATCCCAAACCCTAGCCCTAAGGGTTGTCCGGGCTGTGTTCCAGGCAACCCTTAATAACCGTAAACCCAAGAACCGCAACCCCGAATCCTAATCCCTAAACCTCAATGCTGAATTCCAAACCCCCCGAAACCGTAAACCCTGTATCCCAAACCCTAGCCCTAAAGGGTTGTCCGGGCTGTGTTCCGGGCAACCCTTAATAACCCTAAATCCCAGAACCCCAACCCCGAATCCTAATCCCTAAACCTCAATCCTGAATCCCCAACCCCTGAAACCCTAAACCCTGTATCCCAAACCCTAGCCCTAGGGGTTGTCCGGGCTGTGTTCCGGGCAACCCTTCATAACCCTAAACTCCACAACCCCAAGCCTGAATCCTAATCCCTAAACCTCAATCCCGAACCCCAAACCCCCGAAACCCTAAACCCTTTATCCCAAATCCTAGCCCTAAGGGTTGTCCGGGCTGTGTTCCTGGCAACCCTTACTAACCCTAAACCCTGGAACCCCAACCCCGAATCCTAAGCCCTGAACCTCAATCCTGGATCCCAACCCCCCGAAACCCTGAACCCCAAACCCTGGCCCTAAGGGTTGTCCGGACCCTTACCAACCGTAAACCCTAGAACCCCAACCCCGAATCCTAATCCCTGAACCTCAATCCTGAATCCCAAACCCCCGATACCCTAAACCCTGTATCCCAAATCCTAGCCCTAAGAGTTGTCCGGGCTGTGTTCCGGAGAACCCTTAATAACCCTAAACCCTAGAACCCTGACCCCGAATCCTAATCCCTTAACCTCAATGCTGGATCCCAAACCCCCGAAACCCTAAATCCCAAACCCTAGCCCGAGGGGTTGTCCGGGCTGTGTTCGGGGCAACCCTTAATAACCCTAAACCCAAGAACCCCAACCCGAGTCCTAACCTCTAAACCTCAATCCTGAATCCCAAACCCCCGAAACTCTAAACCCTATATCCCAAACCCTAGCCCTAAGGGTTGTCCGGGCTGTGTTCCGGGCAACCCTTAATGACCCTAAACCCCAGAACCCCAACCCTGAATCCTAATCCCTAAACCTCAATCCTGAATGCCAAACCCCCGAAACCCTAAACCCTATTTCCCAAACCCTAGCCCTAAAGGCTGTCCGGGCTGTGTTCCGGGCAACCCTTAATAACCTTATACCCTAGAACCCCAACCCCGAATCCTAATCCCTAAAGCTTAATCCTGAACCCCAAACCCCCGAAACCCTAAACCCTGTATCCCAAACCCTAGCCCTAAGGGTTGTCCGGGCTGTGTTCCTCAGCCCCGAATTCCAATCACTAAACCTCAATCCCGAATCCCAAACCCCGAAACCTTAAACCCTGTATCCCAAACCCTAGCCCTAAGGGTTGTCCGGGCTGTGTTCCGGGCAACCCTTACTAACCCTAAACCCTAGAACCCCAACCCCGAATCCTAATCCCTAAACCTCAATCCTGAATCCCAAACCTCCGAAACCCTAAACCCTGTATCCCAAACCCTAGCCCTAAGGGTTGTCCGGGCTGTGTTCCTCAACCCCGAATCCTAATCCCTAAACCTCAATCCCGAATCCCAAACCCCCGAAACCCTAAACCCTGTATCCCAAACCCTAGCCCTAAGGGTTGTCCGGGCTGTGTTCCGGGGCAACCCTTAATAACCCATCTTCGTGACAGCCCGGGCTTCCTGTCGGCTTGTATGGGCTGTTGTCCTGGCTGATCCTCGTGACTGTCCGGGCTTTCTGTGACCTTGTCCGGACTCTTGTCAGGGCTGATCCTGGGGGCTGAGGGCCTGTTGGCCGTAACTAACCATCGTGACGCTGTTGTGGCCAGATCGGGTGGGGGCGGGGAGGGCAGAAATGAGGGTGCAACCTCTTGTGCGGGCTGTCCGGGCTGATGTCCGGGTCGTCCCGTGACCACTTGTCCTGGCTGTGTGGCCTTCCTATAGGCTTGTCCGGGTTGTTCTGCGGACTGATCCTTACCAGTTTCCAAGCTTCCTGTGGAGTTGTCCGGTCTGTCCGGGAGTTGTCCGGGCGAACACTGTCAGCAATCATGGCTTGTCCGGGCTGTCGGGACGTTATCCGGGTTAGCCCGTGGCTGATGAATCTGGGCTCTGTGTGGGCTTGTCGGGGCTGTCCGGGCTGGCACGCGAGCTGATCCCAGTGAATGTCCGGGCATCCTTTGGGTTTGTCCGGGTCGTCCGGGCTATGGCCCCAGGCTGTCTATGGGAATGTCCGGGCAAAACTGTTTGTCTGTCCGGGATGTCCGGGTTGTTGTCCGGGTTGTTGGCCGGGCTGTCCGGGTTGTCCGAGTTGTGGGGGGACCGAAGTGACATACTATGGGGGGACCGAAGCGACACTGTTTCCCTTTTCTTGTGTACCTGCATCTGTGTGACTGCATCCCCGAGTTCCCTCTGTACCTGTTCCACCACCACTTCGTTGTAGCATCGTCCGAGAAGGGCATCGTAAGAGGTCTTCCGGTCGCCTGTGCTTCTGTCTTCTGGCTCTGCTGGTCCTGTTGCTGAAACTGTCTGCTGGATGAGAGGTCGGGGGTGATGCACGTGAAGCGGTTCTCCGTGAACTCATCGATGAGGACCGTCCAGGCTCCCCCGTTGTACTTCATATGTAGTTCTCTGTGGTCACCCTCACTCGGTTTCGGGCTGGCATGGAAGGTTGTCGGGCTGTTTCACCATGGAGTCGACATCGCGGATCTGTACGAACGCGTGTCCTGAGAATGCCAGGGAAGCACTTCCCCCGTCCTTGACGGCATATGCGGCAAACTGTTTCCCCTTTCGCAGCTGCCATTTCATGGTAAGGAAAGGGAGGGGGCACCAGGTCCACCAGGTTTGAAGATCTTGATCTCGCCTTTCCTGCCACTATCACCCATCATGCAGTTGAATCCCCCGTCCAGTCTTGAGGTACTCTGGGAACAGCGCTGCAGGCAAATTTAGGATCCTCCTTAAGCCTCGAGAAGAGCGGGTCAACGAACTCAGGTAGGCCTCTGGACTAGATCTTGCAGTTTGTCCCTCTGAGTACCCGAAACCGTGTCACGCTCGGTAAGATGAGCTTGTGATGGCTTTAAGGCACCCCCTAGACAAAAGTTTACTTCCGTTGGAAAGGAAGGTCTCGTGGGCACTGTACGAGCCTTCCCCGTGCAACTTCCCCCTCGAGATGGCGAAAACGGTCTGGCCACCTTGAGCCAAAATCGTTACTCTCTCTTTCTCTTTCTCTCTCTCCAAGCATCAAGCCGCCGCTTGTCTGCGGGCTGAGGAGGCGTGAAAGTTCGGATGGTTTATTGGCCGGATATTGCCTTCCTGAATGTTCAACATATGTCATCCGACCATCCCCATCACATTGACACATGCAGTTGACCCACACAATACATCAGGGGCTAAAGACATCAGCATTTGAACAAGCACATGGCAGTTTATTCCCCGATATGCTCATGCAAAGTCGTCATGAACTGTCCAATCATAGCTGTATGTCTATCAGCTTCAGGCACATGAAGCCTTAAACCCTCGCAGTAGCCGACATGAGAGAGCAAAAGCAGAGAGTTTCAGTCCAGACACCACCTCTCATACCCCTCCACAAAGCCGGACACCAAGGGCAGGCCAAATGCCCCTTACGCCTCGTAGAAGAAGAAAAGAGATTGTTGTTCTTCAATCCAAAGCACAGGGACTTTCGTCCCAGGTATAGACTTTTGCGCAGGGGTACGTAGTTTGGAGCCCCAAACCCAAACGCCCAGCAAGCAAGCAAGCTTTTCTTTGAGGCACTCAGTGAACATCGAGCTTCAAACAAAGGAGTGCTGTCTACCATGATTGACCTTTCTTTCACCAGAGTTATATGATTGACCTCTGTATCTCTCTCTCTTTCTCGCTCGGCTGTTCCTCCAGGCATCCTTCGGAATCATCTTGTAGGTCACGCACTTTCCCTGCGAGACCTGAGATGAGCCGAACTCGGCGGCACCACAAGCTTAACCCGAGGCAGCCTGCAGTCAAGCTTCCAAGAGAAGTAGGGAGACAAGGATAAAGTTTGAAGAAGTCGTTGCTAGCAGCGAAAATGCATGCAGCATCGGGCTGCCGCGTCCATTGCTCGCAAACAGCCTTGGAAAAGCATCTCACTCCCCACCATTCTTTTCTTTTTCGCATCAGAAAACAAGAACAGCTTCTGAGCATCAGCATGCATCAGCGAAGAACAGCCTTGAGGCACGGGCATTAAATGAAAAATCTCGAAAAGGCACGCCTTGCCACAAGACGACATGCCTGTCGTTCGATAGCCGAACCCATGCAAGGCCCGGGCCACCAGCTCCACACAGATCCCACTCAAGAGAATGCGAGCGAAAGGGTGAGCGGCCTTGCATGGCAGCTTGGCATAGCGTGGCAGAGCGGCTCATGCAGGGCCAGGGCCCCTGCCTTGCTCCTCGCGCTGTCTTCATGTTGTCGAGATGCAAGGATCACGTTCGCACGTGTTTGCACCATCATGAAAGCTGCGAAAATAACCTGGCCCGGAACATGGGCACGCAAACCGCTTCGCCGAGCCGAAGTAAGCCAGCCAGCAGCACGCTGAAGGCCACGAATGCATGCAATGCATAACGCCTGCTGTCAACCGATTTCGCCTCTCAAACTTGCATCGTACAACTCGCAAAGGCCTGTCGGTGGAGAACTCAGATGCCCAGCCATACAAGATGTTTTGAGCGTGTACCTCAGGGTTAGCCACGGCGGCGGCTGCAGCATTCTTGCCACAAACGCAGAAGCCTCGTACTGCACATTCCTGAACCCTTGTCCCGAACAATCTGCAAGGGCCACGAACCACCTCGGCAAAGCTCTGCACTCCTTTGACTTTGTGCGGGTGTGACTCGAAGCCTGGGACAATGGCCAACGAGGGCGGATCTTTTCCCTCACCAGCGTCCGTATCCTGAAGATAGTTGCGCTAAATCTGCAGCACGTTTGAATCTGGTCGTCGGATGGTCGCTTAAGCACGGGATGCGTCCTCAGATGTCCTCCCGCGATTAGCCAACTGTTCTTCGCTCTTTTTCGCCGCTCGGCGCAGGTCAGGAAGTTCCAGTCACCTCTTCATCGTTGTGCTGCTCACTTGCAAAAGTGAAGTTGGGGTCAGCCTGCCTGAAGGGCCCGGATATGATTCAGCCTGTGCCGATCGCAAACATGCTTCACAAAATTTGAACGCACTGCGACACGACAATGTACACATTCAGCCGAGACGCTTCGTCATCTAGCAATAGGAGGTACACTTCCTCGCATCCGGTTGTGAAAACTCCCAGAGCCTAACATCCACAGCCGAAGGCTTTGGCCTGGGTGTACCGTGGACCGTGCCAGTAAGGCGGCGGTGCACACTCTGACAATTTTGAGATATGGCACCAAAACGTTGCAAAGGTATTGGTCAACTTTAGAATGCTGGCAAGGCTCAGGTTAAGGCTGAAATTGCTTTTGGGTCTCACATGGACATTTGGTGACCACAGTACCGAGGACAAACGGAGCTGCTGATGCAGCTGGTGCACGTTCCGGTTCACCAGATCAACATCTGGTGTCGACTGGACCGTCTCTACGACCGGCTTCGCAACCAAGTCTTTCAGCTTCCACTCATGGAAACGAACAAGGATAGCAATGTGTAGAAGAGAAACCTGCCGAGGCCTGAATGCACCAAGGTACAACCAAGCCAGACGCGAACTGTTTGCAGCGGTTGCAGCAGAGTCACAAGAGTTTCAAGAGTAGAGACTTGCTGGAAGGCTAGTACGAACAAGTCTGGACAAAGCTCTACCGTGTGGAAAGACATGGCAGAGAGGTGCAGTGCCGGAAGAACAGAACAGGTTGTCTCCAAGACGGGCTGCCTTCGCCCCATCCTGAAGTTGCGACCACGAGCAGCGTCAAGCGTCGCAGCCAACAATCGAGCACATGTTAAGCAATTTCCATGGGAAGGGTTTGGACTCTGGACGTCTTGGGAGTCAATGGCTCTCAAGCCCGAGAGCAATATTGGCATAATACAGTTCCGTGCATGAATTAGCTCCTGGTCATCATCAATCGCTGGGAGCTTCACATGAGCCTGCGCAAACTCTCGGTGCAGTGCAGGACTTTCATCAAAGTTGCGGCAATGCGCCTCGAGCATCGCAGCTTCACGGTGAGCAAAATGAACTGAATGAGAAGCATTCTCGGCAATTGGCCTGTCAGACGTTCCGTTTACAAGCATTCTCAACTCTTAACCAAGTACAGCATGCATGGTGAAAACGCTGAAAGCGGCACTATGCGTGGCTTTATGAGGTGTCTGGAATTAACGTTGCGTGAAAGCAACAATGGCAGATTGCATCTCGCATATGGGTTCGGTTGCCCTACGAGGCTTTGAAGTCTGGTGCCATCCCAGTTCGAAGGCCCAAAGGCCGAGTGTAGGAGGTACGCAAACAAGAGGAAGAACTAACGAAGTAAGGGTTGAACCTACATGGACCGGCCACGGCCGGCCACAGCGGCAAAATTAACTTTTACACCTGCTGCAAGAAATTCTCGCAAGGCGGCTTGCGAGGCAAGTGCAGGGACGAGGTGGGTGGGAAGCCTTGAAAGGCACGTTGAGGATTCCCGCCAAGCAGTGGTTTCAGCCAGGTAACGAATTTGTCTGCCTCTTCGTCTGAAGTTTTATTCTGTGCCTGCATGGGGCTTGAAAGACAACTTGGCTTGGAAAGGCATACACCTTTGCACGGAAATGACGCTGAAGCTTTCATACATCGGAAAGCCTTCGGGGGCATCCCGAGGTGAACATGCTTGATGGTCACTCAGGAGTACAAGGCTCCTTCGATGCGTACGACGAAAGTACCCGAAATAGAAGCCATTGAGCCTTTTCGGTTGCAGTGTGGTCAGAATGAACGCATCCAAGCCACGTAGCAACCTTTGGAAGAAAATGGACTGAAAAATGCTTAAACCAGACTTTGGTTGAGGCTCTTACTTCGCGGAGGGCCGTGTCAACATCATCAATATGACAGACAGAAGGCTGATAAATCGATAAGGGCTTAAAAGCCATTCCTACCGAGTGCCGGATCTGAAGTCACCTATGGACCTATAGACCAAACCGCGGCACACTCTTATGCTTCGTCAACCTAATGTTTCTTGATGGGCAAAAGGACTTCGATTCTAGTGATCACACCGCCCTCCTTACTGCTTTGAAACGCTACGGTCTGCCACAAACCGAGCCAAATTTGATTGCAGCGTCATATCACAATGCCATTTTCGAGCTCCATCACGGTCGTAACAAGGCCATATTGGTTCGGTCGTAGCGGGAACTCGTAAGAAACCGGGAGAGTCGAACCTCATTCATTGAGGCCAAGATCTTGCAGGCCATGTGAAGCAAACAAGTTGGTCGCGGGATTCGTGTCCAACCCCTTGTTGTCATAGGTGGCAACTGGTTTGCTTCAAGCCAGGATGCCGGCAGGTTTGGGTTGTGCTCTAATGTCGCTGAGAATCCGCAATAGCTCTAGCGCAGCTCGGCAGTGTGGCCAAGCATCTGGAAAAGCTCCCTACTAAACCGTCAGGTCACGGTGATTTTTTGCCCGTCTTCAGCTTCCCAATAGCTTCCTGCATATCATTCTTCCAAAAGAACGGGCTGTTGTGGCTTGCCTAGCCCTAGTTTTGCATATTGGCGTCCACGTTGGGGCTGGTGTACCACTGTTGCGCAGGCTTTCTGGCAGCTAGTGGTCTCGAAAAGCTATGTGGCTCGAAGGGACAGCTTTGTACTGGCATGTACTAGCTGACGGGCGGGGATTGGCCGCAAAGTCCATTCAATGATCACCTCGACACGGTTCCTGCCCCCGCCTGTCTGAAATCTGGCGCTCCGCGATTGCTTCACTTAATGCATTAAGAAACTTTCGGTGCCTTCCTACGGCCGCTCGGCGGAGGCCCGGGGCGAGACAACACCAACAGCTTGGCCAGGCCAAGCACGCATGACATTCGTTGCTGAGGACCGGAACTTGCCCAGGGCGGGGATCCGCGAACTTGAGGCAACAACAGACTCAAGCCAAGGGGTCTTGTTTGTCCCTCCCAGTCAGCTTGAGGGGTCCAGGATTCGATAAGGAGACAGAGCCTTCTGGCACTGGCCTGCCGGCGATTTCATCTTGTCGAAAGGTCCAACCACCAATGCGGAAGTTCGCCTTGTCAAACACCTCAAAGGTCCGAACGGAACTGCAAGCACTCGCACGGCAGGAGGCCAGAGCAGTCGGAAGAGGGAGTTGGCCGAGCCGGCCCCAGGTTGGTCTCGCACTTGGTCAACCAGGCGTCTGATGCATTCGCAGGCTTCGGCGCAAGGCGTTCAGCTTCAAAATGAGACAAGCCCCAGGCAGCTGGAGTGGAGTGGAGTGGAGAGTGACCAGGACAAAGTCCGGTCAAAAGGCAGTATCACCTCCGGCCCGAAGGCTTAAGGATCAAACCGCAGAACAAAAAAGAAAAAAAACGTGCTCCAACACAAGCACAATCGAAACAACCCACCTACTTTCAGCAGCTGCTGCCGCTGTTGCTGCTGTTGCTGCTGTTGCTGCTGTTGCTGCTGCTGTTGCTGCTGCTGCTACTGCACACCAGCCACGAAAGAGGTCGTTACAGGAGCACATGGGTAGGCACCCGCCAAAACCGGGGGATGGATACCCCGACAGACAACAAGCTTCGCCACGAAGAGGTCGCTACAACAGCACGCGGGTAGGCACCCGCCAAGCCCGGCGGATGGATACCCCGAAAGACACAAAGCTTCGCCACGAAGAGGTCATTAGAGGAGCCCGCGGGCCAAGCCCGCGGGATGGATACCCCGAAAGACACAAAGCCTCGCCACGAAGAGGTCATTAGAGGAGCACGCAGACCCGCCAAGCCCGGGGGATGTATACCCCGAAAGACACGAATCTTCGCCACGAAGAGGTCGCTACAAAAGCACGCGGGTAGGCACCCGCCAAGCCCGGGGGATGGATACCCAGAAAGACACAAAGCTTCGCAACGATTCGCCACGAAGAGGTCGTTATAGGAGCACGCGGGCCAAGCCCGGGGGATGGATACCCTGAAAGACACAAAGGCTCGCCACGAAGAGGTGGTTGGAGGAGCACGCGGGTAGGCACCCGCCAAAGCGAGGGGGATGGATACCCCGAAAGACACGCTACAAAAGCACGCGGGTAGGCACCCGCCAAGCCCGGGGGATGGATACCCCGAAAGACACAAAGCTTCGCCACGAAGAGGTCATTAGAGGAGCACGCAGGTAGGCACCCGCCAAGCCCGGGGCATGGATACCCCGAAAGACACGAATCTTCGCCACGAAGAGGTCGCTACAAAAGCACGCGGGTAGGCACCCGCCAAGCCCGGGGAGAAAACAAGCTTCGTCACGAAGAGGTCGTTAGAGGAGCACGCGGGTAGGAACCCGCCAAGCCCGGGGGATGGATACCCCGAAAGACACAAAGCCTCGCCATGAAGAGGTCGTTAGAGAAGCACGCGGGTAGGCACCCGCCAAGCCCGGCGGATGGATACCCCGAAAGACACAAAGCTTCGCAACGATTCGCCACGAAGAGGTCGTTAGAGGAGCACGCGGTTAGGCACCCGCCAAGCCCGGGGGATGGATACCCCGAAAGACACAAAGCTTCGCAACGATTCGCCACGAAGAGGTCGTTAGAGGAGCACGCGGGCCAAGCCCGGGGGATGGATACCCCGAAAGACACAAAGCTTCTTCACGAAAAGGTCGTTAGAGGAGCACGCAGGTAGGCACCCGCCAAGCCCGGGGGATGGATACCCCGACAGACACAAAGTTTCGCCACGAAGAGGTCGTTAGAGGAGCACGTGGGATGGATACCCCGAAAGACACAAAGCTTCGCCACGAATAGGTCGTTAGAGGAGCACCCGGGTAGGCACCCGCCAAGCCCGGGGGATGGACACCCCGAAAGACACAAAGCTTCGCCACGAAGAAGTCGTTAGAGGAGCATGCGGGTAGGCACCCGCCAAGAGCTATCCCCCCCGAAAGACACAAGGCCTCGCCACGAAGAGGTCGTTAGAGGAGCACGCGGGTAGGCACCCGCCAAGTCCGGGGGATGGATACCCCGAAAGACACAAAGCTTCGCCACGAAGAGGTCGCTACAACAGCACGCGGGTAGGCACCCGCCAAGCCCGGCGGATGGATACCCCGAAAGACACAAAGCTTCGCCACGAAGAGGTCATTAGAGGAGCCCGCGGGCCAAGCCCGCGGGATGGATACCCCGAAAGACACAAAGCCTCGCCACGAAGAGGTCATTAGAGGAGCACGCAGACCCGCCAAGCCCGGGGGATGTATACCCCGAAAGACACGAATCTTCGCCACGAAGAGGTCGCTACAAAAGCACGCGGGTAGGCACCCGCCAAGCCCGGGGGATGGATACCCCGAGAGACACAAAGCTTTTTCACGAAAAGGTCGTTAGAGGAGCACGCGGGTAGGCACCCGCCAAGCCCGGGGGATGGATACCCCGAAAAACACAAAGCTTCTTCACGAAAAGGTCGTTCGAGGAGCACGCGGGTAGAAGCCCGGCGGATGGATACCCCGAAAGAGACAACCGTTTTCCCCGACGGGTACCCACAAGAGCTACGACGGACGAACCCTTTCTTTTTGGATGGTTTGAAGCGCATTCGCGCCGGGTCCGTCGCAATCGCCAGTACTAGGCAAGCCGGCGCCGGGGGACGCTTTTAGCTGCCCCGGCCCGCTGCCCGCCAGCGAGCGACGACCCGAAGGTCTCCAAATAAAAATATCTCCCCCAATAAGGGCGGTGAGGGTGGGAGCTTAAAAGCGTCGGGGGACGTGGAGCAGACAGCGGCTGCAGCATCCACGTCGATTCGACGGTTGTCCCTACGCACATACATGTGCTACACGACAACCGTTTTCCCCGACGGGTACCCAAAAGAGCTACGACGGACGAACCCTTTCTTTTTGGATGGTTTGAAGCGCATTCGCGCCGGGTCCGTCGCAATCGCCAGTACTAGGCAAGCCGGCGCCGGGGGACGCTTTTAGCTGCCGCCCGGCGCTCCCCTCACCCACTCTGCGCCGGCTTAGCCCGCTCACACCGCCAGATTCAGTAGCTCGTCGGCGGCGTCATTCACCGCAAAGTCCAGGTCGGCGGCGGCCCGGGAGAGCACCTTGAGGATCGACTCGACGGGTGTGTGCACCCGCTCCAAGCCGGAACTTTCCGCCGTGTGAAGGTCCCCTCTCGACACTGCGTCGGAGACGTTGGCTTTGGACGGCACCCGACGGAAGTCGGGAAGCCATTCCGACAGAGCCGCCGTGGACCAAAAGGCCGCCAAGACGCCGTTGACGGCGGGGTCCTTCCCGTACCCTTTGGTGAGTGCCCATTGGCCGGCGACGTTGTCGATGAAGGCCAGCCACCTCTGGGGCAACCGACGGGATAATGTGACCAGCGCCAGCACCTGGGCGACGATCTCGAGGACGTAGATAAACGCCCGACGGGAGGCGAAAATGTCCAGGAACTTGGCCGGCACCACGCCGCAGTCATAGAAGACGAGGGCGCCGATGCGGACGACGAAGCCCCAACCGTTCCGGCCTCGGGTCCCCGGCCGGATTCCGACTTCTGCCGGTATGTGCCCGGCTTTGTGTCTCACCTCGCCGGGCTGGTAGAAGGCGTCGGCGTAGATGATCGCCGCCGGTGCCCCGTCGTCAATGATGGGTACCCTCCTCGGCCGGATGTCTGCCAGCAGGGCCCGGAGAGACGTGAGGGCTGCCCGTAGGCCCGTCGACAGCGACGTGGCCGACGTGGCCGCCGCGTCGTGTGCCCTTGAATAGACGGGCTGAAGGGCCGCCTTTCCCAGGGCGCCGAAGGTCGACTGGGTGATGAAGTTGAGCTTGCCGGCCAGACGGTTCGCCACATCCGGCGTGAGCTCGTCGTTGGCCAGTGCGTCGTCGATCGTCGTCAGGACCTTCTTGACGCGTCGTGCGGTCGGCTGCAGGACCACCGCGTCGGTCTCGACGGACACGAGGACCCCCTGGACTGTCTGTTGAGTCGCCGGGGCCTGGGCCTTGGACGGCTTCGTCTGCAACCCGACGAGCTCGAAGAAGTCGGCCATCGCCCGGAAGGCCGAGTTCGCCGACTCATCCATGTCGACGCCGTTGAAATCGTCGACGAAGTGGCCGGCCAGGATCCAAAGGAGCACCCGCTGTATGGCCTGGAGGGCGTCGGCTGTCCGGTTAAAGTGCCACACCGACGCGGCGGCGCCGAAGCACATCGCCATATGAAACCAGAGGGATACGCCGGCGGGGCCCGCGATGAAGGTGCCGGAGTGCGCCGGGTGTTTGACCGGCCACTGGCGGTAGGCGTTCAAAAGGTCGTGCCCGAATATCCTCGCCAGCGTCGCCGGCCCCCTCGCCATGGTCGACCACTCGCCGGACCATGTCCACGAAGTCGTCGACGAAGTGGTGCGTCGGGACGTCGTGGGCCCTGACGGTGGAGTTGTGTCCGGACCTGCGCCAGTCTTCGGCGCGACGGACCTTCGCTCCTCCCTGTTCGTCTTCTTGCACGACGGGGAAGGAGGCTGCGGCAAAGGCCTGGCCCGGCGGCGGCGGGACCAGACGGTCGGCCCCCGGCCTGTCAAGGAGTGCCGTCGTCTTGAAGTTCCAGCCGTCGGGGGCCCGGGTCGGGCCGACCACCCGGCCGAGACGGACTTCCTCCACGAGCTCCGCGAGGAGGGTGTCGGTGTGCTCCCCGACGGTGGCTGTGGAAGCCCGCCGCTTGATGTACTCCCAGTTCGCCGACGCGAAGTTCTCGATCGACGCCGGGTTGGAGTACTTCTCGTCGGTTCTGGTCCGCCACCCCGGGCCTCGGCGGAGTTCGCCCAACATGTCGAAGCCGTCGGTCAGGTCCTCCTGCATGCCAGGGACGTCGGGGTAGCCGACGATGCGGAGCAACTCCAGGATGACGGGGATCTGCGTCGGTCTCGCCTTTCCCGGTGTCGAGTATGTCGATCTGACCGACGGCGACCGCTGCTCCAGCCAGCGCTGCGTGTGGTCTTCCATGTCGTCGACGAGGTGGGAGATGTCCTGTAGCACCTCCCGCCGGATCCTCGCCAGGTCGTGGCGCCACGACCGCCAGAGGAGCAGTACACGCTCCAAGGCCGGCTCCAGATCGGGCCGCCGGGTCACCGTGCAATGCCGCAGGGACGCCGACAGCTGCCAATGTAGGTCCGGGTCGTCGTCGGGGAGGTCGATGTCGGGTCGGTGTCGCGGCGGTGGCTCCATCGGCACCGGTCCCCCGCCGAACTGCTCCGCCGCCCACTGGAGGGTGGACCGACGTGGCTCAGGTACCGGTGCTGCCGTCGATGAGGAAGCGGCGGAGAAGATCGCCAGCAGGCGGCGGGCCACCCCCCAGTGCCATCCGTTGGCGATGACGCGGTGGCGGGCGGTGTCGTCGACGAAGCTGGCCTGGGCGGTGTAACCCGACGGAATGTGATGGAGGCGCTCCTTGACGCCCGCCGGGATGTTGTGGAGGCGGCCCGCGTCGTCATGCATCATGGCCTCCTCGACATAGTGCCAAGGGGCGAACCGTCGGCCGTCCGCCGCCCAGCGGGCCTTCGCCGGTTCGGGAAGCTTCGGCAGGGGCTGCCTCCCGCCGGCGTCCTCAGCCGGTGTCGTGGAGCACGGGAGGCGCAACCTGCCGGACTCGACGGACTGGTGGAAGGAGAGGCCGGCCTCGGTGAGCTCGTCCGCCGGCTGTCTCGGGGCCTCGAGCCGGAGGCGGCGGTACGAGCCCTGCTTCGACCACTGAAGCGGTCGGCCCGACGCCGGATCCACCAGGGCGCCGGTGAGGTCCGCCGACATCCACCATAGTCGGGGCCGGGAAATCCAGCCGAAGTCCGACCCGCAGACCAGGACCGGCTGCACGCCGAGGGCGTCGCTGATCTTGGCGGCGTCGGCGGGCTCCATCACGACGTTCTCGAAGAGGAACGCCACCCGCCGGTCGGAGAGGTCGGCGATGATCTGGTTGAACATGTCGACGGTGAGGAGGAAGAGGCTCCCCCTCTCGCCCGCGTGGCCGGTCGCCGGGCCGATTCGCGAAAAGTCTTGCCCACCGGAGCCGGTGACAACCACGGTGCACTCGCCGGTCGGGTCGGCCTTCCTGACGGCCGCCACGACGGAGCCGGGCGACTCCGATGTGACGTCGCCTCTGTGGACCAGCCACGGCAGCCTCACCGACGCCAGCCGTCGGCAAGTGGCGTCAATCTCCCACGCCAGCGCCAGGGTCGGTTGGCCGAATAGATTTTCCACCAGCGCCGGGGCCGCACCGATCCCGTCGAAGAAAGAGAGCAGGATGATTTTGGGCGCCCGCCGGGTGCGCTTGAGTGCCGGTCGGACGACGGTACTAGCACATTGGCTGCCGGGTACCTCGCCGTGGTTGTCCGATCCGGGCGAGGCCCCGCGCTGTCCCTAGCGGCGGCGCTTGGGATCCTCCCGACGGCCTTCGTCACGGCGGTCCTTCCCACCGCGACGGTCGTCCTGGTCCCACTGGTCCTGACGGCCGCGGCCCCAGGACTGGCGCCAGCCCTGGTCGCGACCCTCGTCGCGACCGGTCTGCTTCCAGCGGTTCTGGGGCTGGCGTCGGTCGTCGTGGTGATCACGACCCCAGTCCCTGTTGGCGCCGTCGTCCTCCCAGTCCTGCTCCTGGCGGCGCTGCTTCCCAGGGCGGCGACGGGGCTGGCGACCTCGGCCCTTCCCCTTCCCCTTGGGGGTGTCGGCGGTGTGGTCGTCCTCCGTCGGGTGGTTGGGTGGGCCTCCCGTCGGTCTCTTCGGCGGGCCGGGCTTGACGGCCGACTGGAGCGCCTCATTGAACGCCGCCTGGTCCGCCATGATCGCCGAGGTCACCTCCTCGAAGGTCCGGGCGAGGCGCATGGACATGGCGAGCTGGTGCGCCGTGGCGTCCCAATAGGCGACGACGGCCTCGAGCTTGCTCGAGTGGAGCCGGGCTTTGGTCGTCCACCAATCGACGTACCTAATGACGCCGGCCTCCGTCCCCACGCCGGTCAGGACCCACGCCCAGCGGATGGCGTCCAGGCCGTCGACGACGGCCCATATGCCCCTCGGGACGAACGGCTGGTTCTCCTCCACCGCCAGGCCGCCGTCCACGAACTTGATGTTCTGTGCCCCGGCGGTGCTGCGACGGCCGGCGAGGGGGTTGACGACGCCGAGGGAGGACCAAGTCCGGGACGCCAGGATCTCGCCGAGGCCGAGCGGCGTGTAGAGCTTGGACTTGGTGTGCTCCCAGCCTCCTCTGCTCCGACGAGGCGCTCCGCCGGGAACGAGCGGGGCTCACCCCCGAGCTGGACGGCGTTGTAGCGGGCGACGAGGTCGGTCCACTCCGGGAAGGTCCGCGGCGGCTTCTCGCCGACCATCGTCGGCAAGGGCCGGTGGCGGTGCGGCCGTCGACGGGGCCGGGGCCGGGGCGGAGAGCTCGTTCCACTGCCGCCGGGCCTCCGACCACATGTGGCGGAGGATCGCCCTGACGACCGGCTGCTCCGCCGGCGACGCTCTGTATGTCGTCCCGACGTGGCGAGGTCGTCGAAGTCGGTCAGGACGTCGGCGACGAGCTGCGGACCCATAGCCATGATCACGACGAGGGGACCGGCGGGGATGGACAGGCGGTGCGATCAAAGGCGGGCTGCGGCACGAAACAAGAAGCACAGTGCGCAGCGACGGGCTCACCAAGTGCACGGTACCGGTCCCTTTTCTCAGGACGACGACGAATCGTCGGAATCTGAGCTAGATGCCACTGGGGAGGCTGCCTCCTCCGTCGGCGACCCGTGCACCGTCAGCCGACGGGGCCTTGGGAAAGCACCTAAGGCACTTGGCGGCTCCCGCCGGTAGCTCGGTGATCCTATAAAAACTCCGGACGCCGTATGGCCAGGAACAACCCCGCGCTTTCCACAGAAAGCGGTCCGACGAAGCCTCCGTCGGGTCAGGGGCGTGAGCCCGTTTCTGCCGCTCATTGTAAATGAGGTGCTCCGGCGGCGCGACGGCGACCTGCTTCACCGTCTCGGGTCTGACTGGGCCGGGCTCGAACGCGACCGCCGGTGAGTGATCCTCGGGCGGCGGCGCCTCCACCTGAGCCGGCTCGCCATCCTCCAGGGCCAGCGGCGGCTGTGGGCCGAGAGCTGGTGGGGCCTTGGCCTGCGAGATGGCGTCGCCGTACGCCGGCCGGACGCTGACTATCTCGACGTCCTCCGCCAGTATGCGCCGGGGAACGTCCGGGGCGACTGCCAGCGGCGCTGCCTGGACGTACCGCTCGACGGCGGCCGAAGACCATCGGCCCAGCAACTGGATGATGGGCGTGTTGACGCCCTTGGACGCCAGCCACGCTGCGCCGGCCACCCGTGCCAAATGGCCGTTGAAGAGCTGGACGGTGGCGCCGTTGTGGTCGGTGGTGGTCAGCTGGATCCCCGCCGCCAGCAAGACCCGCCGGAAGAAGAGGACGGCCTCTGACTTCTCCCAGGTGTCACCGGTCCCGTCGGGGAACAGGGGTGCCCCACGCACCCACCGTCCGGCACGCCGAAGGCGGGAGACATGGCGGAGCGCCGCGTGGTATGGGCACAACGGCGCCACGGTCGCCCCGCAAGCGCACCGTAGCTGGCGTTGGGTCAACTCGACCTCGCCGCCGGTCGCGGTCTTGTGCAGGGGAAGCCGGAGGGCGACGGTGCCGTCGGCGACATCAATGTCCTGCGTCCGCGCCGCTGAGAACTCGATCTCGCGGAGCATGAACCACACCGCCAGGATGAGGGCGTCGACGGCGTGTGCCGTGACCCACGGGCTCCACGATTCGGCCCCCGGCGGGTCCACCCTGGAGACCAAGGCCACCAGGCGGTCGACGGCGAAGATGGCCTTCAGCTTCGAGCCGGGCAAGCCGCGGACCACTGCCCGGGCGTAGCGTCGCATGGCCCGCCGGATGAGGGGGTCGACGGCCTCGCCGCGGAACTGTTCCTGGTATGCCACGGCGGCGTCGAAATAGTTCTGGACGGACCGATAGCCGCCTCGACGGAAGGTGGCGGCAACCTTCCGCACCGCCTCCGCCGAGATGGGCCAAGTCTCGCACGCTTCCTGCCACGTGCGGACTCTCGACTGGAAGGGTGCCTGGGACGACTTCGCCAGGATGTTCTCGTCGATTTCCGCCAGCGCCGCCTCCCTGTTCTCCGGGAGGGCCGCTTCAAAGGCGGTGCGTTTGCACGCTCGACGGGTGTCCCTCCTGAGCGGGATGTCCTTCCGCCTTTCCGCCGGCCGGTCGGGGACCGTCGCCGGGGGCGGGATTGGTCCGCGAACCGTCGCCGCGACCACTACTGGACCGCCGGTCGGTACTACAGCCGTCGCTGAGGGCCCAATCGCGGGCCCCGCCGGTACGATTTGGTTTGACGGGGCCGGTCCTGGGGACCGTCGCCCCTCCGGCTGGCCACCGTCGGCAACAGGGGCAAATGGTCGGATGCCCCCAGCTCGACGAAAGCCCTCACCAGCCGGCCGAAGTCCGCCGTCTGTCCACGGCGGGGCCGCATGGGGCCAACGGGGGCCTCGAGCCTAGGCGTGCGCCGGCCTTGGCGCCTCGAGCCAACCGAACCTCCTCAAGAAAAAGGTAAAAGAAAAACAGGTGCACGACGAACGACGGGCAAGCAAGAAAGACTGCACTGCGACGGCCGCCCTCCTTTTTAGCGCCGGTGGCCTGATCGGCTCTGAGTCGGGCCCTGGGCGATTACAACGCCGGGCAGAAAAGGGATTAAATTAAGGCGTCGGGAGAGGCCCGCGAAGGCTTCACCGACGCACCCCCTGAGGCTTGAATTCCCACGTCGCCAGCGACAAAGCCGTCGGTGAGGTCGACCTTGTAGAAGACGGCGACGGGGAGATAGCGACGGGGGCCGGCCGACCGGATCACCGGTGCCGGGACTGCTCGTGGCAGTCCTCGCACTCATGGTGGTCGTGGCAGCACCGGACGGAGGCATCTGCCGGGGATGCCGCGACAGCGGCTGTTGGTGCACGGGTGCCCGCACCACCCGACGCACCAGATCTCGCCGGGGATCTTCTCCGGAATGCGGCCTCCCCGGACGCCGGGCGGCAGTGCCCGCAGCACATAGTAAGCCGCTGCGGAGGCCGCCGGTACCATGGCTGTGGAGCCGCCGGCGGCGGCCCTCTCGATGTCCTCCAACTGCTCCAGGTTGGCGACGGTGAGGGGCCGGAGCGTCTCCGGCACTGTCACGTCGGACCTCACGCCGGACTTGCCCATCAGCTCGACGTGGTCGCGCCACTCCTGTGAGCACAGCATCCGGCGGATATGGGCCAGACGCCGGTACTCGCGCCGGTGGCGCTCGAGCTCGGCGGGGGAGGCGTTCTGCCCCGGCCGCCGCGGAAGGATGGGGAAGCCGGCGCCAGTGATCGGGTCCGCGTCGGGGTACATCTCTTGCGGCGTTGGTGTAGGTGCCCTGCGGAATGACCCCGACGGTGCTGGCGGCGACGGCGACGGTGCCGAGGCGGCCGGCATGGCCTTCACCGGCGGGCCGCCGGTGCGCTGGTGTCGCGACTCCTCCTCGAACTGCCGCCGGAGCTCCTCGGCGATGCGGTCCTGGTAGTCGACGATCGGCACCGACGGGGCCGGCGGCGGCGGCCCAGGGACCACGGTCGACGGCGTGATCCGATCCGGAAGTACCGTCTGGTACCGCCGGTAGTAGGCGTCGGCCGTCGGGATATTGTGTTTGTAGGCCAGCTCCGCGTCGGTCCGACAGAGATACCCCACCTGGTCCCAGACCTCCGGCGGGCTGCCTTTCGGAACCGACGGCGCCGGACGGGTGGGCTTCTGCGGATAGCCCCCACCCGACGGCTTGCCGGCCGCCGGCATGTCGGCCGAGGACGACGGTGCTCCGGAGACCCCCCCTGCGCCGAAGGAGGCGCGTGGTGCCTGTCGACGGGGGGTTCCGGGCACGGGTCGTCCGACGGCGCCGGCCCTGCTGCCACTCCACTGGAAGACGCCGGTGTCACCCTCGACGAATCACCATACACGACGGGCCCTGGCGCGGCGGCGGGACTGTTGATCGCCGATACCAGGGCCCGCCGTTCCAGTCCAGACCACTCGCCGAAGAGTTGGCTGAGGTCGTCGCCGGAGGCGACGGCTCGACGAATCATGTCGAGCGCCGCAACCACATCGGCGGACTGGTATGCCATGGCGTCGAGGGGATCTACCGGAAAGCTTAAAAGCGTCGGGGGACGTGGAGCAGACAGCGGCTGCAGCATCCACGTCGATTCGACGGTTGTCCCTACGCACATAAATGTGCTACACCACAAAGCTTCGCAACGATTCGCCACGAAGAGGTCGTTAGAGGAGCATGCGGGCCAAGCCCGGGGGATGGATACCCCGAAAGACACAAAGCTTCGCCACGAAGAGGTCGTTAGAGGAGCATGCGGGTAGGCACCCGCCAAGAGCGGGGGATGAATACCCCGAAAGACACAAAGCTTCGCCTGGAGAAGGTCGACTGCGAGTAACGGTAACGGCAGTGTCGCACTAGTGCGCACCGGGGGCGAGGAGAGGGGTGCTCTTCGAGCAGATGCTCTTAGTGCCGCCACGGGGGTCCGAGCTCTCCCCAGACCATCCCCCAGCAACAACGCACACTAGTCCCCGGGGGATATGGGCAGCTTCATGTTTAGCCCACCATGGGCCACCCGTGCATTTTCCCGCCCTCAGCGGTGCCAAAGTCCACGGACCACTTCCGCTCACTCCCGGCAGTTCCGCTTCCAGGACGACATTACCACACAGAAGTCATGGAAGCTGGATCTAGGCTGACTAGTGATTAATTGCTTTTATGGTGAGTCCGGTAACAGACCTCCTCCTATGGGGGGGTCTTGGCCAGAACCACCTTGGCATACCCGACGCGATCCCTGCCAGCCGGTCGGAAGCAGTGGGCCCACCGGGCCGTGCTGAGGACGCTGACAAGGACCAGGCTCCGAAGCGAGGTTTGGTTTCCCCAAGGGTCTCGACTGTGCTGTGCCTTGATACCACATCTGGAGGTTCAGGGGGACGCCCCTCACCCATGCACATAGCGACTGTATGAAACGAACAGTAAAGACACAAGGGCGCCGGAAGGACCCCGGCAGCCGTTTCAAGCCTGCACAATGAGAAGGGCAGAATCAGCCCTTATACCGTGGGCACCCGACTCATACAAGCCTAGAGAGGCACTTTGCGGATTCACACGTACCTGTGCAAGTAAGGAACAACCACCTGATATTGGTGGGAAATAAAAGCCACGGAAGCAGCACTCTCTATCAATTATCCTTATCGGGGGCTCCCGAAGCTGGAGGGGGTAACCTTCAAGGATAAGGCGGCAGCGAGGCTCCCTTAGTACGAGGATGTAACGTAGATGTAGCACCCTGGCATTCATGTCAAATCGCCATCGTCCAGCTGGCCCTAGCTGGAAAAAATATGTGAAAGGTGGACCTATCAAATCCTGTCACAACCAAGCAATATGACGAACATCTGATCCAATGGCAAACCTTGTGCCGGTAGCTGCTTGGAGAAGCTTCTGGTCCCGGGCAGAGCCAAAGGAGCACCCACATGAATCTGAACAGTGATGGTGCTGTTATCCTGAAATAAGTGGAGCAGTAGTTGTCAAAGCCTGTCATGCCAATCCGAAGGAGATAACGCCAATTGTGAATGTAATCAGGTCAAGCATTCATCCGGCGTTCAGTGTAACGCTTCATAGGAATATTGAGCTCTGCAATAGAACTGATGAAAGCCTACATGGCCTTCTCCCAAAGGCTTTTGGCAACAATCTGCAAAGGCTGGCTGACACTACGCCTGCTCTTCCACGTTCTATACAGAAACAAGGAGCATCATGATCCGACCGGCACGAGTTAAGGCTTTAGCGACATGTACCAGGCTAAGCTGGCCTCTCCGGTGGGTTGTAGGACATGCAGAACTTAGTGACGAAGACTGTGCCATTGGGTGGTATGGTCGACACGCCTGTCAGTCGAACACTCGTTGCCGCAGCCTGGGAAGCCCTCGTACAAACATGTTCGCTGCCATTGCCTGCAGCGCGCATGGCGAGGCTGCCTCCACGTCGAGAGGCTTGATCGAGCGCGAACGATGAAGCGAAGAATCACTGCTGCCTACACTGTTCATCGCATGGTATCGCACTGCCGCTCAGCCTACTATGATTGGCCCAGGATTGGCCATCACTCTTGTGGAGAGGTCCTAGCCGTTTGAAAAGGGTTTGGGCTAGAATGTTGAATGCACACCAATGCTGAAAATGATCTTGTAAACGTTGCAGCTTCCTGCAGACGACTTAATGCCAAGCCCTCGGCTCAAGCGGGCAGGCAATGCTGCACAACAGCCGGTTGCATGTCGTGCCTGGCAGCAGCAGCAGAAACCACCTCGGCAAGGCAGAGTGCAGAACAGTGCCATCCCGGGCTGACAAGGACAGATGAGTCGAAGACAGCCATGGCTTCGACATGGTCGGACAGCTGCAGCAGCAGGCCAGCAAACGAGGGTTGGGTTGGTGTGAGGTGGGTTCGGTGATGATCGGTTTAGCAATGAGTTGTCAAGATGGTTTACATGATTTTACATGGCAGGCATGGGTCGGAACACCTGGATCCTGAGGGACTGAGCCATCTGCAGCCCACCACGATGCGATTCATCGAAGCTGCGAAAAGACTCGCAGCCTGTGACATAAGTCGACATGCAGGTGCCTGCATCTTGGCAGCCACGTTGGCGGCTGCTGCCACAGTGTCGGTGGTCCCGGTTGCTTTGGCAGACCTTTGCTAAATGCAATTAAAACAAGAAAACAGCAGGTTCACGTGATGCTACAGCTAGACTTCTGAGACTCCAGCGCTTTGTCATCTCGCTGCTTGCCTCTACCCTTGGCCGGCTTGTCCGGCTCCAACCAAGGATCTTTGAACTCATCCTCCTCCTGCAAAGCGAAACGAGGAAAGGTGGCATGGATCGGTGCACTGGCATGAGTGGGCCCGCATAATTACAGCGCCATGTCCTCGAAGTCCCCAATCAAAAGATCACTCTTTGCCTGCTGCCGATCTTGCTGCTGCCTGTGCAGGCAGGATCAGATCGGATAGATTCTGGTAACGGCAGTATCAGCTGTCCTGCTTTTCTCTGTGTTGTCATACTTGAAGCTCTTGCCGCCTTGTCTCTGTTCTTCTTTGACAATGTGTCAATGCGTCCGAAAATACATGATACGAAGAGACTGAAATGGCCACAGGGTCGGAAGCAAGGAGCAATGCCATAAACCCCCTTCATGAAGGAGCAGTTGACCGCCAGAAAGAGACGGCTGTCACCACCCGATTTACTGCCGCCCAGTTGGGTTCCACCCCCTATGGGAGAGCCGCCTTTCGGCTTCTCAGGCTCGAGGCCCTATGGCAGCTAGCTCAAAAAGGACCATCCTCCGGGCACTGTTGAGTTCCTCGTTCCTTCAGAGACAGCAAAACGGCACGGACGAAGACGAAAAGAGGACGAACAAAAACGAACCGCAAACCCAATTCCTTCCTCTGCGGCGGTTGAGAGCACACGACTACAAAACTGCCAGGGCAGCAGGCCAAAGCCACCCCAGCGTTTTCGCTTCTGAGCCTGAGCCGTGAGGCTCAGCAACAGCAGTTCTAAGCTGATGCTGTCTGAGTCAGCAGCTTGGCCGGTGTTCACCGCAGTCTGGTGTTCCTCCGTACCCGTACACTCCAGGCCGACCGGTGGCTGGCTACCAGTACGCACCGTGGCGACCAAGCAGGTCCTCTGCTAGGGCCTTGAGCTTGAGGGGTACCTCTTGATTGCACTGTCGCAGGGCATCCACCAGGTCCTACAGAGCGGCAGAGGCCCTAAAGCCCTAAGGTGGCTCGACCCAAACCGAGAACCGGAGCCGTCCTGAGCTCGGTCGGCTTCATCAGGCTGAATGAAGGTGTAGGCAAAGCCTGGCCTGCTCAGACGCGCATCCTCACACTCACACTTCATTGCAGCTCTGGTTTGCCAAGCTCCAAGCTTCCCAGCTCTGCCGGTGCGTCCAATGCGGTGAATGTAATCTTCCAAGTGGTCAGGTACCTTCCAATCCCGACTGTTGAGTCCGGATCATACAAGCTCTGTAAAGCCACCTTGAAATTGACCACCAAGATGACATTTTTGACATCGATCCCTGTCGCATGTCTGCATGCATCTGTCCTGTTTTCTGGCATGTCAGGTTCCAACGCGCAACTCCTGAACCACCGAACCTCTAGCAGCAACAGATGTTGCTATGAGGATGTTCGATATGCCATCTTTGAAGTCTTGGAGAGTGAAATCCCGGTCTTGCTGGTCCTTCATGCGCAGTGCAAACACTGAGTTTTGGCTGCAGTCCAAAATTGAGCCAAAAAAAAGGCCTGGCCCCCGTGCAGCGCAAGCGGAGGGTATCCATACTTGAGGAGTTCCGTAAACATCTCGTCCACGTCCTGCCAACATCTTCCGAGGCCGAGACAGCACAAAGAACACAAGCCACGCTCAGAATATGTCCTTCTGCTGGTGGACAAAAATCATGATTGCACCTGCCCATGAGACTGCGGAAACGTGATCATAACTTCGAAGACTCACTCTGGCCGACAGAATAGACTGCTCCGCACCGTGTTCATGCCACTCTCCCAGAAGTTGAAGCAGTCGATAAAACTTCTGGCTTTCATCCAGAACCTGCCGTACAGAAGCGGAAACAGGCGCAAGTGTCGCGGCCGATGACCTTCCAGCACAAAACTGCGAATGACCTCAACGAACTGCGTCACGTTGGAAGCCGCAGTGTTCTTCTCTCCAACCTGACACAACAAATCCACATAACACCAAACCAGCAAAGTCACTAGCTGGATCGGGGTCATGACAGAAATCTCCAAGGGCTTCTTCAGCACCTCATAAGTGCATATAAGTGCGAGGGCCGAATCTGCACCAAGCTAGGCTTTGCAAACTCCGAGTCAGTAACCTTTCTGGCCAAAGCTTCAACATGTGCTGGCAAAGTTGCACTAAACATCGCCACCTGCGTTGCAGGAGCAGGTACGCGGTTCAACTTCAACATCTTCAACTTCAGTCCAAGGCTGCATGGCCGCCTGCTTGTCGGGACGAGTGCTCTGTAAGAACATGCCGATCTGCGGCTCGAAGCCCATGTCAAACATGCGATCAGCCTCAAGACGGGGCCCCCTGGAAAGGCCTAGGATACCAGTAAGAGGGCGCTAAAGTGCTTTGATCCTGGGTAGTTGTAGCGCCTCGTCCAACACCAAGAAAGTTACTCGTCTGAGGTTGGTGATCTTCCCACCTGATGTCGTAAGGACCTTCACAAAGCACATGAATTAAAATCATCCGCTTGTCGAAGCCGAAAATTAATGATGCCACCTTCGCTCTGACTCTGAGGAGAGAACGTCTATGAGGCGACCGGGCGTGCCGACCAGGAGCTCAGCTCCTGCAAGCGCCCAAAAAGTGGCCACGGCCAAGTAACACACATCAAAAGCTTGGAGTCTGAAAGCCTGGCCTTGCAACCTCAACACTCAGAGACTCAGTGGTGCAAGGATGAAGTAGTGGAATCCGACGACGGAATTCAGCTACTACTGGACTCGTATGGCGCTTCTCGCACTTCGATTGCCAGCATGCAGTATGTGTTGCAAGCCATGACACTAGCATGCTGATGTGTGTGTTTCGTAGTTTGAGAACGCGCAAGGACGCAACCCCAGACTCATCAAGGCTCCGATATCATAGTTTTCACATGAATCTCGACTGTGCAATAAAAACTTGATGGAGGCATCAGGCATGTCCGCACATTATGGCTCTGATGCACCCAGCACAATGCAAACTTGGATGCAGGAGCAGAGCAATGGAAGGCCATATTAGTGTGTTCGGTCTCCTTAGCGGCCTTAGCATTGTTGAAAGCAGTTAATGTGACAATCGCTGAAATCAGAGAAGCCAACACACTCAATACTGGAAGGCAGCTCCGGATTCGAGCACTGGAATGGGCTCCGACAATCGAAAACGCCAATATGCACCAGAGCGATACACGCACCCGGATTCCATGCACCAGCGCGATTCAGTAGCCATGCGGATTCGTACACCGACTTACGGAAAGGGGGTTTGAGAAATGTAAGCAACAGGCATCGCCTGTGAGGGGGAGGTCTTCAGAAATGTGCCGGACTGTGGTCACGTGATGTGGGTGTCGGTTTAAGAAGCCCGATCAATCACAACATGAGGAAGTGGGTTTAAGAACTTTGACATCGCCAAACGAGGGGGTGAGTTAAGACATATGGTCAACCGTCATGGCCTATCCTGGGAGCATGTTGTTTTATCATTTTCTGGATGAGACCACCAGTGCCTAATGATTGAACAAACGTGATCAACCACCACGGTCAACCGCCATCGCCTGATCGGGCTTTAGAAATATGATCAAGTGCCGTACTTATCCAAAAGGCAAATCGAGAAAAGCCACCGCCCCTCACCATGTATCTCCTCCAACTCCCAGCTGCCAAACCTTTTGGAACTGACCAGAAAGGGTTTGCACTTGGGAGCACTAGAATTGTCACCGGTCAATACCAACAGCTCTGCGATGTCTTACGAATACGAGCTGTACTCAGGAGCAACACTCTCCGGACCTTCTCCTAAAGATTCATGCCGCATCTCGCACCACTTGGTGGAGATTGCTCCGTGATCGTTTGTTCCGTGTGCTCCACTTATTTCATGACCGTGCAAAAGCCCGATACGAGACCACAATCACACCCCCAAACGCGGGAATGCTCTGCATCGCCTTGTGTTGGAGTTGTCTGAACATCTCCCGACTGCGACAGACTGTAACGGCTCGGCAAGCGTGCACAATGAGACGCACTTCGTTCCAAATACCAGAGCTCCATGCCCGGGACCCGCCCACGGTGTCAGACATGATCTTTGGAGCTGAGACATGCTCAGGCTGCATTCAGTAGCAGGAGGCGCGCCTTTCTTCAAAGCCGAGAGCTGCTCACCCATCGGTCCGCCACCATAAGCGCAGACGCTGATCAAGTGCACAGCCTGAGAGTCTCGTCTCGCAGCTGGGGGAAAACAGCGCATCTCATTCGCCGCTTTGTTTTCCGCTTTGCTCCGCTCCGAGTGCAGCCTGGCGTCCTTGCAGAAGCTGCTCGCCTCCCGCTGGATCTGCAGCGCAAGCTCACGAGTCGGTGCGACCTGATAGCAACAACGACACAGAGACGAAAACTACTAGTAGTCACTAGTACTAGGTTCCTGCTCACATCGCTCCCAACAGGACTTGGAGTACGAAGCGCAGCTCAAGTTGAAAGCATCTGAAGCGACATTCTTCGACAATGCAAAATCCAACAGAGGGGATACGACCACAAACGCATACGAACCAGCAGTCGTGTTTACTGTCTACACAACAAGCACCTCGACGTAACAGACGAAGTTTCATCCAACCAAAGAAACATGATGCTGCTTGTATTGCAAATCAACTTGTCAAGTTGTCGAACACCACGACATGCAGGCACGAAAGTATAGGCCATGCAGGTCAGCTGCTTGCCGCTACCCTTATCGAGATATCTCACGAGCGGATCTAGGGTCAGAGCCACAAACCCAATCGGGCCATCACCATTTCCAAGCTTCGGCTGGTCCAAGATGTGCCTGCGACGTGCTCTGCTTCAGGCAGTAGCATCGCTTCACAAGGACCACACACACCTGATGAGCGGCAGCAAATACGCCAGAGTCTTGCCGGAACCTGTCTGGGCCACACCTTGCTTGCACTTCATTGGCAGCATGCTCTCTGTAGGACCCAAGATCTAAGGCACACTTTTGAACAAACTCGACCGAGAACAACCAGAAGGCCGCCTATGACGTCTCGGCCGCACATCAACGCAGGAATTGCCTGACAAGGCTCGAGTCTCAATGGTTACTGCATTCGTCAATGCAGATGCTGTTGGTGGTTGATGATGACTTTGTTGTGGCGGATGCTCATGCCCCTACTGCCGCTTCTGCTGCTGCCCACTGCTGCTGCTTCCCTCTTGCTGCCGTGGCGGCGGCGTAATTGCTACCGTTGCCGTCATGACGCGCATGTGTTCATGTATTCTCTGTTTCCGGCATCCTGCCTGCATTTGAATAGGGAACGGCTTTTCGTAGTCACGCTTCTCCATGATCTTCATGATCTTGTCGGGCAAGCCACACCTTGTTGTAAGGCAGCAGAGGCACACAACTGCTAGACGCTTGAAAAGCTTAGGCTCTGACTGTAAGAAGCTTGTGACAGGATGGGGACATCGCCTGCATCATCATCGGCCAGTATCTACGGGCGCACGGGCCGCCGCTGCATATGGCAGGTCTATGCCGCCGGCTTCCCCCTGACTGTGATGTCACCATGCGTTCTTCTGAGATCTGCAACCTGTCTTCATTCTCGGTGCTGTGGCATTGACTGGCATACCGCGGGTGCATGCTGCGTGCAGGATGCTGCCTCGTGATCCTTCAAATTCGTGATCTCTTTGACCTGTGCTTCTGTGCAACGACATTCCATCGTTTCACCCACGAAGCTGCACCTGCACATACAAGTTTTTCCGGAAGGACTTGTACTCGATCTTATCATGGTCCACCTGCCACGTGATGCAACTCGAAAGCACTCGAACATACTCAAACCATATCTGCAAAACGCGCCACAAGCTACGCAGCTGAAAATACAAAGCCCGTAAACTCGCCAGAATGAGACTTACAAAATGAGAACAAGAGGTTTTATGGCATGGCTTCACAAACCGCACCCAGAGTCCCGAGGTCGGCTGGAACCGTAAAATTGCTGCAGGCCATTCTAGGACCGTCTCGGCCTTGAGACTTGCCAGTTATCGGCATGTTTGCAGTACACCTCTCGGAAGCTGTCAGATCAACGTTTCTCACCTACCTTTATGCACTGGCGAAGACATGCACACTGTCCGATTATCGCAAGCGATTGGAAATGGCGAAGAAAACAGCAGACGACAGGCCATTCTTCAATGATGGCACAGATGACACATTTGCGGACGAAGAACTTCTTTGCACAATAATGCTGCTTTCAAACTCTTATGAACGCAGCAGGGTCAGTTTAGCAGCAACAGCTCATGAAGTCACTGCATTGAGATGACACAGACAAGCGAGCAACACGTGTCTTCACGGTGGATCAAGCCATGCTCAGATCCAATGAGGCTCAAACTCTTCACGTCCGTGGAAGACCGCAGAACTCCAGAGCTTCTTCCAAAGGAGGCCCATGCAGTGAACTTAACTCTCCAGCTGAAAGCCCCCAGGCCTCAAGAAGAGTCGAAGTTCCAGCTCAGCTTGCAAACCACAAGCATAGACAAAGAGGTAGGCACGGACAAAGACAAGAACAAGATGCGCTGTCAGACACATGCTCCCGGGGAAGAATGGCCGCATCGACTTTGAGACATGTCGTTCGACGGCTGCCAGACTTACATGTAGTTCTTTCATGGCTGCATCGCTTCTCCGGTGCGGTGCACATGCTTCTTTTTGCAGCTCTTGCCGGCTGGACCAGATTCGAAGGGTGAGCAGCCCGCACGAAGCACGATGTGCTGCGTGGATGCACACCACTGGATTCTTTGGACGACGAGACTCGAATGTGATTCTGAAGCGAATGCATTGAGACACAGCTGAACACGGCATGAGCTTAGCAAGACATACGCAGAATCTGCCAACGTAGACTTGGAGGCCAGAGCAGAAAAAAGACCGCTGAAGCAGTCATCTCCAGAATAGAACAGGACAACATGTTCGGCGATGGTTCGCGCCTACGACACTGGGTGCGTGATGAGAGCGTGCGACATCTTCGGGCGTAGGCAAATTCAAACACGCCAAAATGACTCACAACGAGCATGCATTGAACAAGCTTCTCCACTTGTGATCATTAGTTTCAAGGGCGGCGCTGTTTCACGAAAGCTCCGAGGTCCCTGAAGTAGCAACATGTGGACGATTCTGACAACAGGTCATGAACCACTGCTGACACATGTGATGTGAAACATCAACAACATCCCTCAAGTTTGGACCTAGCGACGTGGCGAGAATATTATCTCGGTCCCTGGGCAATATGTTGTCTGGCAATGTGCAACTACGCCTCCAATGGGCTCCTAAACATATCTGGCTATGCACTGACATTCGTCACAAGTTCTGCTTTCTGATATGGTGCCGAAGGTCTGGCTCAACTGCGCGTGTGCTTTGTGTAAACTCAACTCAAAGTCTGGGACAGAGCAGCAAGCTTCTGTGCTGTCTCACACTGGACTGTAGACTTACCAGGCAGGAAAGCATGCCAAGCTTGCAGTAGGAAGCGTTTTCTTCGTGGTGTACCGCTTGACCAAATCGAAGTAGGACTCCATCTGCTCTTCACTCGACTGCTCGCTCCTGCAGTCTGCACGATCCACAGAAAAGCCCTGCAAGCACAGCAATAATTCTGCCAGGTGAGTATGCTGGGAGCAAGGCCTGTCAGGATCGCTGTCCATCCAATCCCCATCACCCTCACCAAAGCCGTCTCGAGCACGCTTTTTTGCTGCTTCTGCTTTGGCCTCAACAGTGACTGATTCGGCACTGTTGCTTGCAGAAGTCTAACCTGATGTGTTCAGATGGATTGTGCGGGATTGTCCGTGGTCACTGTGCAAAACGAACTCGGAACGACAGGCATGGCCAAGCATAGCTGCCACAGTCTGCGAAGCTTTCGGCCATGGCTGTTGCGAGACGCACACTCGGCAAAACAAACTTGGCCTGTGTAATGCAGCAAACTATGGCAGGTTACAATATACTATGATATCATTTGGTGTCGAGAAACATAGCACCGTTAGATTACAATCAATATGGCACGAAATGGAACAACGACTGCCTCTTGCATTACATAACATAACACAATGTGACATAGCGTAGCATTATAGTATAGACTTCTTTTAACATGCTCAAGTTGGCTGTATTGCAACATTGAGCTATGGCACATGGCACCTGGTATGCAAAACCTAAGACTTACTGTAGTGTGCGAAATGTAGCTATGTATAAGTTGTTGTGTAAATATACCTGTATATACAAATAATCTGCGTTGAAAATTTATAACATTCCATATCACAATATCACATACCTATACTATATACAGCATTAAAGTTCATCCTGCATAAAAGATATCCCGTGCAGTTTACAGTAATTGAATTATGTCGGTGAGCATGTGAGATTTAGTCGGCAGTCTAGAAGATCCAAAAACTAAAAATCTGATATGATTCACATATACAATACGAATGTGTGTGTATATATATATATACATATACATAGACAAATATGCGCCTGCACCTGTGTATGTTTACATATATATGCATATATAAAGAGTGAATTATACACATACGTACGTATATACTGGACAACCTACCATCGAAACAAAATATCACAACCGGTTGACCATAAAAGATTCCCTATACCCATACGTACCACACCGAGCATCTAGAATATATCATATGTAGCACATGATACAGAAGAAATAGTATACCAAAAAGAATACAATGTACACCGTTGTCTGAAGAAGATACTTATCTAGAAAATCAAAATTTGGAACCACACCATGTCCCATGCAATATGTAGGTATATAAATATGACAAAAACAATAGAAATATATATATATATATATGATACAATGCCATATGACATATGATCCCCCCCGCCCGTTGACAGAAAATACCCTTTCAAGTGAGTCGTAGTGCATGGTCTGTCATCGGATGGGTGACATTCAGCCCTCCCAAAATCAATTCAAAATTTTCCTACATTCTCGCCCCTAACTTTCCGGACTTCCACAAGTTCAAAGAAATTCCAGGAAATCCAAAATTCCACAATTTCCAAAAATTCCGAAAATGTCAAAATATCCATAAAAATTCCAAAAAAATCCCAAATCCCCAGACAATTCCAAAATGTCCAAAACGTTCGCTCTTATGCCTGTCCCTTGGTCTGGTAACTTTGGAAATGTTGGAAATTTTGGAATTTTTTGGAAATTTTGGAAATTTTGGAAATACTATGAATGCTTTCCTGTATTGTTTGAATTTTCAATATGGTGGTGCGTATATTTATGAGAATTAGTATATGCGTGTGCATTAGTATTGCTATTCAATGGTATTAGTTTCAATATCAATATCAATATGAAGATGATTATTGGTATGCATAGGAGTATTAATGTTCATATTAATATTAGTACTATGCATATTCGTATTAAGTATTAGGCTTGCTACACATGTAGTATTCGCATTACTGCTGGTATTAGCTTAAGCAATCAACAAATTCAATGTCAGTACACTTATTGGTGATAGTATTCGCCGCAGTATCAATACATATGTATATATATATATATATGTTGATATTCGTCTCAAGATTGGCATGAGTTTTGACAGACCACGCCTTTTCAATTGAGTCGTAGTGCATGGTGTGTCGTCGGATGGGTCACAATCAGCCCTCCTAAAAACCAAATTCAAACTTTCAAAAAATTTACAAAAATTCCAGAAGTTCCAAAAATTCCAAAAAATTGTCCTGTAATCAAGAGTAAGGCTAATACAAACTTTAGCGCGAATACAAATTATCATAGCAAGATTAATCCTAACGGTAACACTACTTCTAATACTAGTACCAATACTTAAACTAACATCAATATTGTCTAAGTCTTGATACTCCTACGAATACTAGTACTTATACTCTTGTGGTGCTTGTGGTGTTTATAGTAAAGCTATCACCAACACTAATACTTACATTGATACTTTTTTTAGTGATATTTTGTTGAATTCAAAAATAATATCAGTAAGAATACTTGCATTAACACGTATATTAAGGCTAATACTACGAATATGAATAATCCTAAAACTAGTATGAACATTAATACTCCTACGAATACCAATCATCATATTCATAATGATATGAATATTAATACCAATACTGCTAGACACCCGCATATACAAATGCACATAAACTTACATACATCTATCTTTAGATACGAATATACATCAATGCATTCAAGTACTGATGTTTTAAGATAAGCATATACCCACATACCAATGTAACAATATACTACTTAAACTGTATGATTATTCTATACTAATATGCTAATTTATCTACTTATATAGGAATGCTGTAGTGTGCAAGTATAATGACATGACAACTTAGTACACTGATATGCCCACATACTGATATATTTATAAACTATTAGACATGCACGAATATAGTAAATACACTGTTTTACTAATGTACGAATGTGCGAATATACTAGTATGTTAATATACTATTTTTATTATACGAATACACCAATATACTAATATACTCATGCACCATAGTACATATTAACACATTTATATATACAAGTATACAAGTATGTTACTGCTCGACTACATTAATGTACTGATATACTAGCCTGCTAATATACGAACCTATCAGTATACTAACATATCAGAACTAATTCCAATATTGATACTAAAACTAGCACATCTGCGAAGATTAACTGAAATGAAACCCAGCATTATGACTGATACTAATAACTAACAATAGTGCTATTACTGACATGGACACTGGCACCAACACTAATCCTAACACGAAATTGAGCACCAACACTAATATACATTGACTAATATTGATATTTATACTTACAGTAAGCACTGATACTACTACTCATCTTAATATCAATAGTACCACAAAACTATTAACTCATGCGCCGCGCGTCTGGTGCATGAGTCCTAAGTACATGGCGTGTTCAAAGTATACGTTGTATATCTACCGTAAAGAGTTTACTTTACGGATTATCGTCGTGCGTGGTGTGCTTACATACAATATCTCAGCCCAATCACTTGCCAGGAGCACACTGTCACAAGGGCATGTCTGTCAACGGGGGGGTGAGCATATATATGTTTATATATATGTACAGTGAACCATAAACGAAATACTAAATAAGAAGCTATATGACGCATACTTTACAACACAATCGATGTAACATCCGATACATAACACCTAGTATACAAATGCAAAAAATGGCGTGTAGTATGTATTCTGTAAATGAAATACATTACCTATCACATGAAACTACTGTGCCATACTACGCCTATGACGTGGTGTAACATGTAATAATGCACCGGCACCAAAAAGTTTCATTGCACTTGCCTACACTATCATGCGGAGGACACGGAGTACCAAGAAAGTGCATTCTACGTGGCCTGGCTAGCAGAGGAATTAATCCACGGGTAAAAAGTGACACTACTATAATGTTCCTGGCGGAGGACTGGGTGGAGGAGTCTAAGGGGTAAACGGTTTTGCAAGGTGTTCAAAAGCAACATGCTGGAGTACGACGATCTTTCTTCCTGCCGCAGTATGTAACATGTTGCTTCCCACAAATACCGGCGGATCCGTGTGCACTGCATCCTGCGGAAGCCGTTTCGGTGCGAACCCGGCGTTGCCACCGCAATCAATTTAGTTCTCTCTACCCTAAACTCAAGATCACCGTAGTATCCCGTAGTTCGTTAAGGTTACACATGGCTGGGGAAATCCCCTGCACATTTCATATCGCACGTGCCTTATGATCCTTGGTGCAGTTTGCTGATACATGTTGCTCGTTCTACGATGTGTTATATATAGCACCATGCAATGCACCGCAAATACCAGACAACACGAAGTTTGTGCATGTACACATACATGCATACATACATCCATGTACATATACATATATATATATGTATATATGTATATACATATGCGTATATATATATATATATATATATACGCTACCCCCCTTAAAACCCGCAGAACCCTTGCAAGAATAACTCCTCTATATATACCTTATATACTTTCATTTGGAATACGTTAACATAGATTACCTTAATGCCTTTTTGAATACGCTATAGCCTCTAGAATACCTTATAAGACATTTTCAGGAATCCACCGTATATCTACCCTATAGAATACCTGATACAATAACTCATGGAACCCCTGCAGAATACCACATAGAATGCCTTACGAAATACCTAATGGAATACATAATCCCCTCTATATATATCGCACGCCTTGTTGAAGACCATCTGGAATACTCTATGGAATACCTTATAGCTACCCCCGGCGGTCCTGTATGTGATAGCCCCTGTATACCGTACTGTATATGTGCCTTTACATGATATAATATCCTATAGATAACCCTTCAACCAAAGGATGATGTATAAAAGGACAATCCTGACGAACGCAAGATTTCAGAACACCCCCGTAAAACTGTAGCTTGCTGGGTTAGGGGTTTGCAGGAAGAAATCAGGAATCGAAGAGAATAGCCTACAGAATCCTTTTATAATCCTTCTACGAACCTCGAAAATCTGTACATAGCCTAACCTAGAAAAACATTATGAAATACTCCTATAAACCGTACACGCACCGTATTGAATTCCTAAAGCCTCTAGATTACCAGATTACCTTGTAGAATACTTTTTACAATACAGTTTTTACCCTATAGAATCCCTTTTACAATGCCTTATGGAATACCATATAGAATGGACAAAGAAATTCGTTACATAATACGCCCTTTGTTGTGGGCCTCATAGAAAAACATCTGCAATACCCCTTCAACTATCTCATAGAATACCGCTTGTGTCTGATACCCTCTGTATACCCCATAGCAAACCCTAAAGAATCCTAAAGACAATCCTATAGAATACCCGTGGAATGCACCATAGAATGCCTTATAGAATATTTTGTAGAAATTACAAGGATTAACAGGAGGATAATTAGGAGAAACCATGTGGAACACCCTATAGAATTGAGTACCTTCCAGCATACGTTGTAGATAAACGATGTATATAGGGAGAATCAGGAAGAGCCCAAGACCTAGTTTTTCACCCGTCGCATTGTAGTTTCTTGAATAAGGGACGACCTAGGAAAACCTCTAATAAATCGATGCTTATTTAGCACGGGATAGTATGGGTTCTATTCAAAGAAAATCAGGCACGCAGAGCGTGCAGGATCGAAGAATTCTTGTTACAGTAAAAAAGCTAACTATGTACAGAAATGCAGGAGCATGATGTGAGTACTCTCTAAATAGTTCGAAGCTTATTTCCTAAGGGGTTATATAAAGGAAATCAAGAATCCAGGATTTGAGGGCTCCTATAGTGTATTGAAGCTTCGTTAGTACCAGATGTATAGTTTAGCTGTTAACTGTACACGACATATCTTATTATTGTCTATATATTTTTTTTGCTTAACCTTAATCGTTTCCTCCTGTCTTGGGGTACCGCTAGCATTAGTTCCCTACATTCCCTAATCTCAGACCCGCATGTCCTGCCTTTAAGGACTTCCTTGGTTCTGTAAATTCACCAAATTCCTTGATCCTTGTTCCCATATATTGGGTTTAACGGATTCATTAGTTCCCGAAATTCCCCCTCAATCATGGCAACACCTGAATCCTAACCATGAGGTTCAGAAGTAGGGATTTTAGGGATTTAGGGAGTTCACTAAATCCAATACATAGGGCTGGGGTTAGGAAACTTGGAGAATTTACGGGTATAGGTGATTTCTCAAATCTGGTACTGGTTTGGAAAGCAAGAAATAATCATTCCAGAATTCCAGATTGTAGAATCTGAAATATAACTCCAGATTGCATAATCAAGGATTCTGGAAATCTCTAAGAACTGCAATTCTGGAATTGTTAGCCTCGCAAATCAGGAAGTCTGGAGTTATTAGCCGCCACAAATCAAGAGGTTAATAATTCCAGAATTCCAGATTTGCGAGAGCTAACAATTCCAGCTTTCCAGAATTCCAGATTTATCAGATCTAGAATTATTCCAGATTGGAAAATCTGGAATGCTGGAATTCTGCAAATCTAGAATTCTGGAATTCTGGAAGAGTCTGGAATTCTGGCAATCTGGAATTCTGGAAGAATCAGCCTCCGCAAATCTGGAATTTTGGAATTATTAGCCCCCGTTGGAAATCTGGAATTCCGGAAGAGGCAGCCTCCGCAAATCCGGAATTGTGGAATGATTTACTCTTGCCATTGTGGAAGAGGTAGCCTCCGCAAATCCGGAATTGTGGAATGATTTACTCTTGCCATTGTGGAAATGTAGACAGATAGATTTGCGATCTCCAGGCATACCCTGTGGAGTCAGTGGAACAGCGGATTACAGCATCACAGCATTTCGTGTCGCGGAAGCATACGTACTGCCAGCAATGGAATTAATTTCGAGCACCAGAGTATTCTGCGTCACGAGTCCCCGAACTCGAGACCCTGAGCTGCAACTTTCTTTCGTCGAAGATTAAGCTCGTTGTAATGAACATGAGGGCGTGGGTTTTGGGGGTCACCATATATATGTAGAGAGAGAGAGAGATCTGTCTGTAACATCTTTGAGAGTTTCGGCATGTTCTGAGTATTCTTGCTTCATCTATGGCAACTGCGATATGTGTTTGTAAAATACAAATGCTACTTCTGATGTTTTTTCTCACGTTTGTTGTGACATGTGATACATGACGTATGTAGATCAAAGCATCCACAGGCGGCCGCTCTTCTCACACTTTTCCATCAGCGAACACTCTAAGCTCGCGGGTACCTTGGGGGACCTCGACACATAACGCCGACGGTCATACATTATCTTCAGCTTGTGCATGGAGCTTTCCTGTACACATCCGGAATCTGCTGCAAGTTTTCTCACATCCGGGGGTTAACATGCACAAGCATCTATGACTTCTTAAAAGTCACAGACTTCACTGCTTCATCTTCAACCAAAACAAACATGCCCTCCTTAAGAACCTTACGAAACAAGTTCATCGGTGCCCCCTTCTTTGTCAAGACGTCAACGATCATCTGGTGAGTCGCCATCCATCGAAGCGATATGTTGTATTTGCCGATGTCTTTCTTCAGCAACAACATTTCGATCGCCATCCGCTTGTCCTTTAAGGAAACTGTTGAGCTTCGAGCATGATCGTACACCGGTTTACAGTCTATCACTGCGGTGATTGGCACGTTGTGGCTCCACTTTGCATCATCTTCCAAACGGTAACTGCTATGCACAGCCTCGCACCACATTGAACGTACCCATCTGGCTTCAGCTAGCCCTCTCGATAAGGCCAGCAATTCTGCACCCAGTGTCGAATGCGTTTGCCGATCCTGCTTGAAGCTCTTCCATCGTAAGATGGAAAACGTTCCCCATTTGCCCTGCGCCAACCGCTCATCGCAGCTAGCAATCATGTAGCCAGCTTGGCTGCAATATCCTGCAGCGTTGGCCCACGCTGCATCCGTAAGAACACAGAACTGCACATCCGCTATCGGAATGGATCTAATCCATACGTAGGACCTGCTGTAATCTCGAGCAAGGCTCACCAACTTGTTCACTTCTATGAGATCACTCACGCAAGCAGTGTTCACCTTCTGTTGCAACAGCGAACACCAAGCAGCAAGATCAGGCCTGCTACTAGTAACAAGCCAATTGATCCCTCCTAATGCACCACGCATTTCCTGTCTCTCGGCATCACTCAGCTCTTGTTCCTTCTGTCTTCTTCTTTCTTGACTAATGGAGATGCCCTTCAGGTTTGACGCGTAGTGTTCTTGTGAGATCTTGATGCTACCGTCAGGTTGCTGCTCAATCCACTTTCCCAGGAACTCACCCTTTCCGGTTTTCCAATGTTTAAAAGGAAACAGCTCACGAAGTTTGACTTGCACCTGCTGTTGGAAGTGTTTGTCTCCGCCCATACACAGGTCATCAACATGAAGAGCTATCACGCCACTGATTTTGTTGTTGTGATAGTAGTAATAGACACGGGGATCGAACTCTGAAACACGCATGCCTAGTCCGGTTAACTTGCCATGCAGACATGTCCACCAAGCCTTTGGAGCGTCAGCCAGGCCGTACACTGTTTTAACGGCCTCGACGAGGCACGTTTCATCGTACCTTTCGATCCCTCCCGGCGGTAACTCTATGAACAGACGACCTCGGCTCGGACTCAAGTCGTCTCCTCGCAAGAAGGCTCCTTCCACATCAGCAATGGTCACCTGCCAGCCTTGGCTGGCCATTAACTGCATCGCTACTGAGAAACCTTCCGAGGACAGGGTGGGTGCACAAGTGTCCAATTCCAACAGATCAGGATCAAGATAACCACGGATACACCATCTGGCCTTAATGTCATTGGTCTGTGGACTGCTGCCAGCCTCGGCCTCGGTGAGTACAAACCTCGACTTCAACAAACGCCTCCGTGGGATTGTGCTTCGCAGCTCCTGTGCCTTCTTTCCACGATGAACCACTATTGCACCGCTCTGCAACAGCTTATTCCACTCCTTCAACTTGGCTTGGCACAACCCAGACCTCCTATCCTTTCCAATTTCATGCTCATTCAACTCCTTCCTTCCTTTCTTCACGCTTCCAACCTCAAAACACTCATCCTCACGCTTGCTCCACTTCCAGCCTGGCTTGAGCTGAAAGATGGTTTTACCTGTCCACCTGGCGTTTGGCTTCCTCGACAAGACTCCCTTTTTCCACTCATGCTCAACAACATGCTTGTTGCCCTTGCGGTCATACTGTATCGCCTGGCACACAGGTTCAATGTCTGATGCTCTTATGGGCAAGTCCTCGGCACGCAACTGCAAGCACGCATCACGCTCATCAACATGCACACGCACAAGCTGCGACCGACCATGATCCACAATCCAGTGGTCTGGACCGCTTGACAAGGTCACTTCAAGCATTCAAGCTCCTCATCTGTCTCATCAGGCACTGGCACCGACTCGGGTGCACGGCCCAACTGTGAAGAACTTGCCGCTTGTGACGGCAACCCATCGAGCAACTGCGGATCAAGCCTGAGAGCCTGACTCAAGGGAGTGATTCCTCCTGGTTCTGGATCAACCCGTTGCCTCTTTGTTGGAGACGCACCGGCTCCTTCCTCACTTCTCGGGTCATCACTTCTCACAACAGCTGCCGCAGGCAGCTCAGCAGCTGCTTGCTGCATTCCCACGTCTTCCTCTTCGCCTTCCAAGCCTTCCAACAGATTGTGGGCAACTTGTTCAACTCGCTGGCTCTCACGCGCAATTTCACCAACACGCTCCACAGCCTCTGACTCCGGCGGCTTGTCAAGCATGCTCAAATCATAGAAATTGCCAGCACCACGAGCACTTACTTCATGTCGCATCATGACCATATCAGCTGGTAACAGCCTTATTGTTGCTTCCTGCTCTGGCGACAACCTTCTCAGCTGCTCCGGACAACATCTGTACACCTTCGTGCCTTTGGCAACCCACACCTTCGACTGACCACTTTTACCAATCACCACAGCAGGACCATGCCAATGACACTTTGACTCGAACCGACTCTTACGCCAGAAATACACCATCTGCCCTGCCTCGAAGGGACCACGCTCTGGCCTTGTCCGATGCTCCAGGGCTTTCCTGATCTTTTGTTCTGAATCTGCATCAACAAAGGCTCTGCGAGCTGCCTTCCTCAACTCCATGCGCCTTTCAAAGACACTCTCGCCCTCAACCAAGGACGAGTTCACCACAGGGTCGTAGTCGGTAGTAATCATACCCGGAATTCTAATGTCTCTACCGAACACATGCTGATAAGGAGAATAACCTTCGACCCTAGGCATGCTGTTCACGGCATTGTTCACCTGATCAACGAGTTCTTGAACCTCAGGTTTTGACCTTGGCTGGGTTTCAAGGTGGGCCTTAGCGAACGCAGCTTTCCAAACTCCCCCCTTCCTTTCCGCCAGCCCGTTCTGCCACGGCGCGTACGCCGCTGACACATCGCCATAAGTCCCATCCAACGACAACCCGTGCTCAAACTCGCCTTCGAACTCTTTCCCGCCATCGCTGAAAAGCCTAATTGGCGCGCCCGCCCATCGCTTCCAGCTCTTACGGTACGCGTTCCTAACATGTTTGGCCTGCATGCCCTTCCACAGTGGAGTGCACAACTGAAAACCCGTAGCCTCATCAACAATGTTCAAGAAGTGTATCTTGGCATGCCTAACATCCAACTCAAAGGTATCAACACACACCTGTTGGTTGAACTCAGTAGCCTTGCGCATCTTGACAACTTTGTGGGATTTCCGGGCACTCAAAGCACTGCACGTCTCACACTCCAGCCCTTTTGCTAACTTGATCACTCTCTCGCTAGCATGTGCAGACTTCAACAACATGACCAAACGCGCAGCTGAAGGATGCCCAAGATTCTCATGACACTTCCGCAAAACACTCATGATCTTCCTGTCGCTGTCTTCTCCATTCACTCTGATATCGTCAATCGTGTAGACACAATGGGCAACCATCACCTCATGTCTCTCTCTCTTTCTCTCCATCACGGCAACAGCAATGTCCTTGCCGAACCACCTTTCATCATCTCTCCTGTGCACATGTGGCCATCCTGCCGTCATCCTTCCTTTCACTTTCCTGCAGTTCGTGTAAACAGTCGCATCACTTCCTTCGCCACCAATCTTCAACACCTCAACGCTGCTCTCTGACATGACTCTTGACCACGACTTGACACCGGACTTCAGACTGCCGTTCTCTTCAAACACGCAAAACATCCTACCCTCACACAACTGCTCAGCACAACATGCCGCAACTAAGCGAGTGAAGGCACACCTCTGACTAGTCGTGTAAGTCCTGCAGAGACCGCGGCTTCCGCGGGTACATGTCATGTGCTCTGGCGTCCGGATCACAACTAACAGAGGCTTGCATTGCTGAATCTTTTCCACGGCACTTTGCACAGTCTCCGCTGAGCGCATTGCCGAGGCACTCAAAACACCTTCGGAGAACATGTGGTCTACTGAGTCTACTGTAAGACCAGCTGCCGCGACAGTTGACAACTCTACTCCTGGTTCCAAGAGAAGCACCTCGGTCTCAGATGAGACCTCGAGCTCCCTTTCTTCAGGAATCTTACAATTCTGAATGCCGCGCCTACACAGCTGCTTTTCGCTCTTACTCATAGCCGTAAGACCACATACTTCATCATCATCTAGTCCTGGTCCTCGTCGTTCAGGCGCTCCAGCTCGTGCTGCATCATCTCGATCTGCTGCAAAAGCCTCTGGCGACGCCGCTCCGCAGGCGTCGGCTCCGGCTGCTCCACATTGGCCGCCAAGATCCACTCGTGCTCCTCCGTTGGACGGCTGTATCCAGCCCTCTGCGAGCTTGAGCTGCTCGGCACTGCTGTCCTCGACTTTGCCTTGGCCTTCGCCTTTGCTTGCAGAGGCATCACACTTGGAGGCGCCACCGGTCGTGTATCGTTGGTGATCCGGCTCGATTTGCGCTGGTCCCTCAGCGCAATATACAGCCTGAACTGTGCCATGGTGGGGTGCGTCGTCTTGCCCGTCTCCTGCTTGCCGCCCTTCACAAACTTCCTCACCCATGCCACGTAGCCCTTGTCGTGAACATAGGCCGCCTCGAAGCTGGTGGCAGCCATCTTTTGGTACTTCCCCACATTGAAGATCGTCCTGCCGCTTAGCCCTTGCACGAGCCCGTCTGGCGCGTCTTCTTCGTGATCTGACATCTGGTCCAACGTCTGGGCAGACATCTCGTTCGGCCCTTCCTCGAGCTGTGGCTGCACTTCCTGCAGCAAGCTGTCGATCAGCGGTGTCCTGACAAAGGGCTGCTGCATCTCCATCGGCACATCGTTGTTGAGGTAGCTCATGGTGTCCGAACAGTGCCTTTGGAGGGTCTACTGGAGCTTCCTTAGAACCAAAACTCTCTGTGGCATTCACGTCATGCGTCTTGGCTTCCGTGTTCTCTGTCACTCCAGACTTGGGCACAGCATCGATACCCTCGAACAAGGGAATAGCATAGTGTCCCCGCTCAGTTTCACGTAACTTCATCTTGACACCGCACCTCCGAACTACTAACTCATCATGTTCCATATCCAAAGTAGCCTTCAAACCCCTAAGAAGTTCCTTGGACAGAAGCAGTGGAGTCCATGATCCACTCCCCGGTAGAACAGCTGCCTTTATAGCAAGCCGCTTTTCCCCTAATTGTACTGGAATGATCGCAGCCTTGGTGGTCCTAAGCATCCCCGCGTTCCCAAACTTGAACTCATGACACTCATCAACGAATCTCACCCTAAGGCCTTCCTTCTCCAGTACTTCAGACATGCGACTCAGGACACTCTCACCAATAAGAGTACGCCTACACGCAGTATCTGGAACCCCATGAGTCGCAAGATCCGCCATATATGCCTCGCTGGATGCAGACTGATCCTGCTCTGTCTTGAAAAACTGAAAGATTCTCTGCTCAAGGTCCCCCGTCACTACGTTGTCTCCCTGTACATTCGGATCAGCGAGCACTACATCGACTCTGCCATCTTGCTCAGCTAAGTAGATCTCCAGCTGGTCGATGTCTTCCTCCTGCAAGAAGAGCTCCTGTCCCAGTTCGTACGAACCAGGATCGCCGCCTTGATCGGTGACCATTGCGTCGCTGGCGTGGCTTGACCTCGCACCGGTTGCAGCTCCAACCTTCTTCTTTGGACATTCACGCTTCCAGTGCCCGTACTCATTGCATATGTGGCAACGACTGCGTGACTTCATCTGCTCGATCTTCCCACGCACCGTTCCTGTCAATGTCCACTTCGAAGAAGACTGTGGGGGCTGCTTGTAACCACGGCCCATTTTCTTGGCTTGCATCTTCCGTCGGATGTCTTGGTACGTCTCGTAGACTTCAATGGCGTCCTCCTCGTCATACTCGTCCTGTGCTTGCAGCTGATCTGCAACTGCTTGAAACACATCTTCTCCTTCGTCGCCATCTGGATCCACGATCTCGTCACCTGCATCACCGTGTGCTTCAAAGACTTCCCGGCTCTTGTGCCCACCAGTCTTTGCAACACCTTGAGGGAAGATAGCCGTGATGGCCGCCGTCACCTCCTTGTACACCAAAGACCCCTTGGTGTGGGTGAGGACCATCGCCTCAGCCGTTGGATCCAATTGAAGCTTCCGTAAAAGAAACCACCCTCTCACTTCCTCCGGCAGCTCCACCGAATGTTCCTTCAACCTGGCATATGCCGTTTCCAGCCGAACTGTCAAGTTGCGAAACGACTCTTGAGCTCGGATATGCGTGCCGAAGAAGTACTCCGTCAGGTGCTTATGCAAGGCGTCCTTCTGCAACTCCTTGTACTTTGCGTCCAGCGCCTCGAAGACCAAGTCGTGGCCTCCTTCTTTCACTAGCTTCTCTATTGGCAGTGCCTCGCAGACTTCCTCGGCTTCTCCCGCCAAGTACTCCATCAACTTTGCACCCCAACGGTCCTTGGTGTAAGTCGTCGGCAAAGCCATAAGCATGAGCATGGCCTTGCGTCTCCACTTCTTGTACGTCGATGGCTGTGTGCCGTCAAACCTTTCCAGCTTAGGTCGCTCCTCCTCCTTACCTGCACCGCTCATGGTCCTTTCTGACTCCAAAGCAGAGACCGTGCGCTTCTCGACTGCCCGCAATGCTAGCAGCCGTCACAGCGCTCCGCTACCACCTGTAGATCAAAGCATCCACAGGCGGCCGCTCTTCTCACACTTTTCCATCAGCGAACACTCTAAGCTCGCGGGTACCTTGGGGGACCTCGACACATAACGCCGACGGTCATACATTATCTTCAGCTTGTGCATGGAGCTTTCCTGTACACATCCGGAATCTGCTGCAAGTTTTCTCAACGTATTTTTCTATGTTAAAGTATGTTGTTTCAATGTTATTTCTATCATATGCAGCAGTCTGGCCGCCCTTCCGGATCCTCCTGAATCAGACGACTGCTTCTGTCAGGGCAGTCGGGGTGTGGTCCTGCATGCTCCAGTACTTGGGGCAAAGCATCTTGATGATCTTCTGGGACGAGCATCTCGTGGAGTGGTCTTCTAGGATCCTGGGTCTCCTGGTGGTCTCCTCGTAGCCTCCTATGGTCGTCGTGGCGCTCTTACCGGGATCTTCGCTGGCATAACAGCAGACACTGTTTTCAAACACTTATACTGTTGTTGCACAGACCCGCTATTCACTCATACTGTTCGAACGTTTATCATGTAGTCGAAGCACGACATGCACATTAAACAGACAATCTGACATACTGATATGCTATACTGTACCTCAACCACGAACCACGTTTTCGAACATATGTTTCAACCACGAACCACGTTTTCGAACATATGTTTCAGAGAGCTACAGAATCTGAAAGTCATCTTGGTCGAATCCAACTATTAAACGGCTTTATCGTGCCACGATCGTTGAGATTGCTGCGAATGTTGGGAACGAGGGACGATGAAACCTGTCCCAACGTAGTCTTGGCTCCCGAAGAACAGCATGCAGTTTCTGCAGCTGCCTGTATGGACCTAGCCATGGGATTAGGCCTAGGCCCAGTGCTAGTACTTGGCAGTACTTGGTCTGGTGAACCGTTGCCGGTGCATTCCAGGGGGCTTCGGGGCACAACAGCACCACACCGCCCGCACCGCGGCAGCAATCTCACGTCCCATAGTTTTGCATGGATTTGGGCGTCATCGCACCGAGGAGTTAATTACCGAAGTGCAGCAGTCAACATGCTCGCCTTGGCTTCGGCTTCCTTGGCCTCGCGTCGTTTCCGTCGTTTCTCCTGTTGGCATGGCATGACAAGGTATCTTCAGGAGCTGTGTAAGCAAAGTCCCCACATGAGACCAGGCTAAGAGCGCTAAGGTCTATGCTTTCTTGGTTTCCACCACCTTCTCAGTCCCCGTCTCGCCCTGGCCCTGTGCAGGCTCGGAGAACTCTGAGCATCGGATCGAACTTCCAATCGCTTCTTTGCGAGTCCGAGCACGGCCTCGGCGGCCTCGGCGGCCTCGGCCTTGGCTGCATCTGCAGTGTCCATCGCCTCGGCCTCTCTGTCGCGCTTACGCAAGACAAAGTGCAAACCCAAGACATGGAAACTCCGGCACTTGTCCATGGCCTCGTCGGGATCTTCCTCGCAGATGGTCGCAAGACAAAGTGCAAAAAACCCAACATCGGGTTTCTCCTCCATGTCTTCTTCCGCCTCATCATCTGCTTCCTGCTCTCCAACTTCACCTTGGTAGCACACTTCACAATCTGTGGGTCACCACCTCGGCAGTCAGGAGTTCCAAGCGACGCACCGTCGACCTCCTCCAAAGGCCTCTTGGCCTTTAACATGCAAGATAATAGAGCCGAACATAGCTGGATGGCTCAAGTGTGATAAACACTCACCTTCAAAGATTGCTCTCTCAGGCCTTTCGAGATCGACGGAAGTCGGGCAACACCTGGGCCAAGAGCCGAGGAAGCCTAGTATAGGCCTAGCAGTCGACTTGAACACTTTGCCCTACGCTCCCTGCACCGTCACAGCACAAGGCTCTGGCTCCACTCGCTTGTGCACGCTCCTCGCACAAGCGCCCCAAGCGATGCCCCAACAAGATGCGCTCCAAAAGCACACATAGCACACATCACACTCCGCTTTGTCTCCGGCGCCTGAGACGGGTCGTGGAAAGGTCCGAGGTCGCGGTAGTAGCCGAGCCTCCCGCGGAGACGCCAAGGATCTCCGAAGCAAGGAATGGAACGCCACACCCAGGCCCAGCGGGCGCGCACCCGCGCCGGCCGCGTTTGAAGACGAAGCCAGGCCGCGCTCCCAGGAACTTCGCCGAGGCCTCGAAGTCCTGCAAAGCAAATACAGAGCGCAGAGCAAAGCAGAGCAACTGAGAGGAAACGTATGTGCGATGTGACTTTTCGCGCAGCTTCTTTGGCTTACCCTGTTGGTCTCCTTGGACCACTCGGGCATCGCCTGCCCAGAAGGCCCCGAAGTGTTCAGCTTCTGGCGGTCTTCGCCATGAAGCCTGCGAGCACCACACGAAGATCCACTGATCAAAGCAACCCACGCAGCACCTTCGCATCTCCGCCATGAAGGCCGAATGAAACTCGTCGTCGGAGTCCTCTTGGAAGCAACATAGCATCATGTAGCATCTGCATGCATCCGCCGGACAAAGGATTCCTGCTCTCCGCCATTCTCAGCTTCCTGGTCTGAAGAATACAGAAATTGCTCGAAAAACATCATCTGCCAAAGACGCCGTGTACTTTTGCACAGGCCTGAGAAGGTACCGAGGGAGCAAGCTTCTGACTATCTTCGTCCTGAAGCCTCGGGACACTGCTAACATGCTAGCATCAACACAGGGCGTTGACAGCAGTGTTGGATCGAAGGAACTTTCTCGTCTCCGTCGAGGGGGAAGGAGCCTTGTGTTCGGTCGAGACTGTACCGATACTGTGGTCTTCGAACATGAACATGAAAAGTTCACTTGCGAATCGTCGCCTTGTCTTCGGCAGTCTCCTCTGCAGACAGAGCTTGCACTCGTCGCGAAGCGTGTGCGTTGAGGCTTGCCTGTGAGGGCTCCACAGCAGCCAGCACCTCATTGTCCTCGTCGTCAAGCCTTTGCAAATCAGAGCAGGCATCTCTTGTGCAGGAAGCTGACAGGAATGCATCTCAGCAACTTTTTCATCTGTGCCACGCAGAGAGCAGGAGATTCGTCCTTGGAGTCCTGGCGAAGACTATGTGCTACCACCCAGCATCCGCTTACAATCTTCCTAAACGAATCCTGCATAAGCACGGGCGGCGTGAGACTGCCACTGCCGATATCATGACGAGGGCCCGGTTGAGTCAAAGGTCACTGGAGGCATCAACTCGCTGTCGACTGGGCTGTGTATGCGCAGAGTCTGTACTGTATGTCTGACATAATGACTGTTGGACTGAAGGTTGTCAAGGTACATTCCTGATGAAAGGTAGCGTGCTTAAGGCAACACAACTTCTCTGATGCGTGCTCACATCTCATCTTCATGCGGACTGGCCTGTTCTAAGTCCTACTGGCATCTCATGGTCTGAGCAAAGCTGCCGGTCTCAAGGCTCGAAGCTGCAAACAGCTCTGATTGGGATATTCTGCCCCGAAGACCTGCCCTTCACCGTACCCCTGTGACCCATCCCAGGTTTCTTGCGACGAGAATTTTGAAGTGCCAGGCTCCGAACTCATCGAGCTCTGACTCTGACTGCTTTGGTCAGATGTCTACCCGAAGGAGCGTGTGCTGGCTGTGTCTTCTTCGATCCGCTTCATTCGATGGCGCTCGATGACACGCTGCATGCCGTCCAGGCCACGTTGCACCTCCTGAGAGATCAAACCGCACTGCACTAGGAAACACGCGGACACTGGGACCCTTCAGAATACGCGAGCCTTGAAACTTGGCCCATATGACAGCCGGATGAAGGAGTCATAGCTGTTGAACTTCCTGCATGGCCGGCATGGCATGACGCAAACAGAAATGGCCATGTCAAGGGTCCTCCGGCTCCCTGGGTTCACATCGAAGAAGACGCCGGGAGTGACAATGACCTCCGGCATCCCCTGCATCCCTCTAGACTCTATTCAACTCTAAACTCTCCAGACTCTAGGCTTCTCTGTGCTGCCGCATGCCTTCTCTCGCAGCAGCTCACGGAAGAAGCCCCAGCCTGAGGCTCCGCTCGGAGCGGCTTCGCGTGGCTCTGCTCTGCTCTCGTCTTGGGCCCTTGCAATTATTCAATGGAGCTGGAAGCTTGGAGATATCGCACCAGCAGTAAAAGGTGCCCTCGCAAGACAGACACAGCTGCATGGATCTGCGTGGCAGGAGACACCGGCCTGCGGCGGATGCTCCACGACGATACCCATATCCTGCCGCAACAAAGCATCACCAACATGTCGGAAGTCTGTCTAGCGGACAAGCTCCTGCAATCTTCGGAGCAGGAAGTCTCGCTTATGACTGAAAAGTACCTGCCAGGAACTGTGAACACGAATGAGAAGGGACTGGTAACCCGGCCTGGAGCATGATGGTTTGCTCAATTACATCCTTTCTTTATTCGGCACATCTTCTTTGCGGAAACTTGCAGTCAGGCGCAAAGACCGGCTACCATATCTTGTTGCAAGGCGTCCTTCGGGTTGACCAACGGGACGCAGGACCTCTGTGTAGGAAGCGAGGGGCCTCCGTCCTGGTCATATTCTTCCAGCACTTCCAGAGTCTAGAGCTTGCACATGTCACATGCCACAATGCAGGACTCTTGCAGGGCTCCAGGAAGGATCCAGCCGCTCCAACAGAGTCGATCAAGGACTTTGGGCCCACAATCCAACACACACGCAAACCTGGCATCCTCCAGCACCTGATCACAGCTCTCTGGTCTAAGGGTCCCTCTACAGTGGCCATACTTGAGCGATCGGTAATGAACAGCCGCGTCGCTTGGTCAAGCCATCGAGAATGATTATAGGATCTCTGTCCACATCCTCCACAAACTGAGCTGCTGAAACCTGCAGCCGACGAGGAACAACTTAATGCAACAAGTCCTTCTTGGTGTTCCGCTTCTACCAGGACATTCAAAGCTGCATGAGTTGTACAGCATGCAGCAGTGTGCACTAAACCAAGCAAGTCGCAGTGCGCCATGTCGCATCCGTTGGCGACATTCGCTGTGTGTAGATGTAACGGGAATAGATCTCATCTAACACAATAGAGCATTGAGTCTCTCTGGCGATCCGAACCCAATTCTTCAGCCTTGGTCGGAAAATCAGAAACGCATGCCCTAGGCAGGCTGGATTACTGGACCCCTCAACACACAACAAGATGAACGTTTATAACTTGCAACTGTACGCCTGAATGGTATGCGTGACACCAGCACGCCGACTGCACACACCTCTACCGACCTGGGCAGTGCAAGCCAGGAACTCTTCGCCCTCCACCAGCTGACCAGTTGGATTGCACGGATTTGACAAAAGAAGAACGGAAAGGCCACGACCAACAATCTCGCGTCGGAGCTCCTTCCAACTTCGCTTCTAAATGAAAAACCGCAAGCTGCGTGTTGCATAGACACTGCACGACTCTACCTCTTCTGCGAAGCTCTGAGACGAGACCTGCTCATGAGCATCTCACTTAAAGGCCGGCACAAGACTTGCCCCGCAGAATGACAGAGCAAGAATTCATGGAACCTGCGAATAAACCTAGAGATGATGTCAATACTCAGACCCAGACAAAGAAAATGAATCAGTCGTTCTACATGCATGCCTTGATCAGCCTTGATCAGCTGGCAGAGTCCAGTCCCTTCGAAATCATGTCTTCTTCTGATTCTTGGTCCTTCTGACCTGCTGCCTTCATTCTGGTCCATTACCTTCGCTCTTACTCACCATCTCTCCTCCTGCAGCTGTTTTATAGCTATTCGTCCCCACGGCACATTGCAACAGAAAAACCCAGCGAACCGAAAAGACTAAGTTGAAGGCTCGGCAAAGAACGGGAATTACAAACAACGGAAACAGTGTAAAAATCCATACTACCACAACTGGCAGAAAGATATGATAATCAGAGACATGAGTACACTACGAATGGTAAACATGAACAGGAAATAGGGGCAAAAGACAGAAATAGCAAGAATCAAGAAACTGTAGAACAGCAAGATAATAGGTAGAGAACTAGCAATAACAGGATGCGAGAGCAAGTAACAAGAGAAACACAAAATGATCGAATCAGATAGGAGGACACCGATTAAGACAATGACCAGCACATCGTAAGACAGTGAGATGAAGCCAGTCAAACCTAACCATAGAAAGAACGTTAAGAAACAAAGGGAACAACAGCAAAACTGGCATTAATCATGATCTGATGTTGAACTAGTTATTGAAAGCTCAGAGAAGTTGTCAAAAAATCCTTGAGAAGGTCCAGTGTTGCTGTTGCCGGAGTGTTGTTTCGCTGTTCGGTGATTTCCTGCTGTTGGAACGTCACTCTCACCCGCCCCATTCCGGTCTGCAGTTTATGGCTTCTGGGTTTACAGTGCTTGCGTTGCGGGGCCCATCTGCATCCCTGTGCACTGCCCAACTTGTTTCTCCCATGGCAAGCTTCTCAGTGCACTGTCGCAACAAGACCTTCAGTCTATCAGTCTATCCTATCCATATAGCCGGCTCAGGCTGCCTCCGGCCACGGCCCGAAACAAACCAAGAAAGTCCAGCGTCTTCCTGTTGACTTTTATGTGCAATAAACTATCTGCCTGTCTTTCCTTACAACCCTCTCTCCAGCCAGCGTCCCCCGTTCCCATCGTTCCCCAAGGCCCTGCAAAATGCCTGAGCATGTGCGCAGCCGAGCACGTCTAATGACATACGTATGTGCCATTGCCTTAAACTTCCTCGCGCCAGCGACACACACCGCTGCATACACTCGCTCTAAGAACTTGCCTATGCAACCCTGTTGCTTTGCTGCATGCCACTGGAATTCCCGCAGCTGCTGACATGCTTGGGCATGGGTCAAAGACTGGCCCTTAGTCGGGATTGGGGCGGCAGCGGCGTCAGCCGATAAGAAGCTTCCGGCCATCGTCCTGTAATGTGATCCGGAAGTTGTTCTTCGGATCCAGGGGAATAGGAATGGAGTTGATGGTTTTGAACCTGAGCAGGCTGCATTCCAAGCTGCCCCGAGAAGATGAACTGCTCCTCACCCTCATGATCTGAGCCCCTGTCTGGCTCAAGAGTTCGGCATAAGCTGTGTAGTCCTGCAATAGAGCAGTCTCCACATCGGCACATGACCGAATCTGCACAAAAAACAGTACTTTCCGCGTTTCGCTGTCTGTTCCGAACTGGCGGAAGTACCTGGCAGTAGCCAAGACTGATCGCTTTGGATCCAACAATCCTAAACCGGCTGAAACCGAGAAATCGCTCTAAACACTACTGCAAGAACCTTATATATATATATATACATATAATCAAAGCTGCCCAGCGTGATCGTGTGTAAAATGAGGGACTGATGTGAACCGTGTCAGTCGCATGCTCATTGAAGGTGGGAAAGCAGTAAATAATCAAGAGGTGAGGCTCCAAACCTTTGCAGGGACTGTCTTCAAACACAGATTTGTTAGGCGTGCAGAATTCAGAACCACGCGTGCTGTCAGGACATGCACACACAGTGTCCGGCAGGAAATGACCCAAATTGACGTTGTCCATTGCACCTCAGACGCTTCACGCTAAGTCTCATTCTAAACATAGCGGCGACTTGTTGATCTGTGCTCACCACGATCGGCCCAATGCTGGACGAGCTGAGCTTAGGCTTGCGCAACACAAACGTGTCAGGGCGAGACGGCCCCCACCAACTATAGCCACGTTCTCCGCAGAATACAGGGAGCTTTTGCCTTTGCGATAGATCTCGTTGTAGAGTCGAGCCACTGCACGGCGCAAAGCCCAGTCCCCATTAACGCTGCCATAGTGCAAATTCTCCTCGTTCACTTCCAGAGCCTGAAGTTGGAACGGGCCGAGTTCCGATGTCAGCTTCCCTTTCTCGACCAGCTCTGTCAAGCGCTTTCTTACATTCGTAGGCCAGTTCTTGGCCTTCGTGGTCTCCGGCGACCCTTGCCCCAAATTCGCCCATTCTTGTGCAGTCGAAGCGGAGTATCCAGCTTTGCTGGCTTCATCCATCACGAAAATGACACCTGTTTTGGGAACTCTGCGAAATCCAGTCAGAAAGAATTCATCTAAGGAAGCAAGGTTTCCCAGATCATCGGGCACAGGTGTTGAAGCGACCTGGAGTTCCTGCTCGTCAGCGGCAGTTTCATTGCAGGGTGTGTCCAGCTCGACTTGTGGTTTTGGTGGCAGTGGATAGCGTCGTCGCACCTGCACCTTTCCCTCCACATCACTGACCTCAAGCTCCACGATTCTCTGTAAACTTGATACAATCAAGTCGAAATCGTTGGTGATTTGCTGTACTCGATTGAACCCAGCAATGATATCTGCAGAAATATAGCCAGTTGCCTCAGCACCCAGCTGGTTCACCAACCACTCATCCTTCCAGAGGTTCTTATCACTGAAATAATAGCGCAATTGCCTTTCCAGGCGAGGATCAGCCATGGCAAGGCAATCCTCACATTTACACGAGACGGCTTGGATTCAAGCAGGTGGTTCTGAAGCCCGCTGCAAGATCATTGCAGACTCGAGAAGGCACCGGAATGCAACATACCTGGACATGCACGATGCAGAGACTCAATGAAACTCGCACTGAGATACACTAAGCAGCTCACGGCTCGTCTGTTCTTGCCCCATCATTCAGTAACAACCTTTTTTGCTTGTGCTGCTGCGCCCTCTCGGCATCTAAGCTGCACTTAGCAATCGAGCATTCTGCCCAGCAGGAGCACGCTTGCAACGGCTGCAGGTAGCCCATGCAACAACTGCGACTAGAAGCAAGGCGCCTGTGATGATCAAGGCAACTCCCCAACCGGGAAAGCCATGAGATGGAGGCGTACCGGGAACCCTGCAAGAATTCGACCACACTAGTGGAGGTGGGCACATCATGTCCGGCTTCTTGACAAGGTTGAAGGCCACAGCAGGAGCCGAGCATTGATGTTCGGGAGTACATCCATATTTGCTCAGCTCGTTTTGAAAGCTGCTTGCCAGCTGCTGCATATTGACACTGGCAAGCTGATTCGAGGTCCAGTTCAGAGACTCATCTGTATTATCCGGACTTGCGGCTGCGATACCGATGTCCATACCACCAGACCCAAACACATCGCTTTCGATTCCGGACGATGTGAAATTGATCACATCCACTGAGATGTTAGTTGCCTGCGATACAGCATCCCGAAATGCAGGAATGAAGGCGGAAGCCAACCAACCATCCGCCAAGGACAAGTTCTTGCCTTGCGCATGGTATGTCACCACTGCGACTCGATCCCTGATCAAGCAATCGCCTTGCAGCGCGAAGCCCCGTGGACAACGGGTGCAAGTCACTTTGCTTTTTTCAACAGGACACGCTGTGCAGAACTTCGGCCCAGTCTTTTTCCCAACAGGATAGCATGGCCGCGAAGGCTGTGGCGGCTTGGCAGACTGGGCACATTCTTTGTCTCCCATGGGACAGCCATCTGGGCAGTCGCAGATGAGTGATTGAACTTCGGTGCCATTGCCGCAGTCGTCATCGCATTCACTCCAATTGCCAAACTCATGTGGATTCCAAGGGCAGCTGCTCCCACGGCAATCGGACATGTTAGCTGGTCGCATGGACTCGTCACAGGGCCCGAAGATGTCTTGGAAGGGACACCACACTTGTCGGTGCTTTGTCCCGTTTCCACACTTCGAATCACACTCGCCCCACTCATCCTGCTGCCACACCCTGTTGCATTTTCCGACATAGACACAGCAAGCGTCGCGGTCTGTGGCAAGGCTGCAATTGCCATGACAATCGGAAGCACAGACGGGCTTGGCATCCTGCAATGGCAACTCAAGGCTTGCACTCACACGATAGGATGTGGCATGTGGCTGCACTTGACTTAAACTTTCTTGGTCCCCGCAATGATTAGCACATGCAGCGAAACGCAGCAACTCGCGACAGCAACTCACGGAGATTCAAGCAGCCATGATACGAGAACTTCGAGCAAATAACAACAGCATGAAAAGAAAGCGAGAATATATCCCTCATCTATCCAGGCGAGCCAGAACTAGTAAGTCCTGGCAACTAACTGCAAAAGAAACATCAACAAGTTGCAACCAAACGCTGCAAGCATGCCCCGAAAAAATCGACATGTCACAGGCTACGCATTACAGTGCCCGTCCCGTTAGCCTTGTACTGTGGCATCTTCTTGTTGAGAAAGAGATCAACCCTGCATGGAACTTGTGCGGCTGGCCGAGGAGAAGGGGGGTTGGCGGTCCCGGGCACATAGCAGGCGTCGCATACACCTGAGCCATCACGATGACAGTATGACACACCTGCATCGGGCACGGGCTTGTTGCACATTGGCCCATACTTGTCACAGGAAGGATTGTGCGCATAGTACAGGTCCACGACGCTTCCGCCAAAGGCTTGTTTGATTGCCGATGCTCGGTCAGAGTTTCGACTTGCATTGCAGCGTCCCGTCCAGAACGGAAGGCCGACCTCATTCTCTGCATGACACGCAGAATCTTGGCAAGATGTCAAGCAGCCTGGGAAGTCATACTCCTTGCAGTACTTTACTCCCAGGTGGGTGAATGACAAGTTCGCATTGCTGCAGTGCAGCCGGAAATCCTGCCAGTCTGCACACTGCCTCCCACCACAGTCTTGCTCCTTGATTCCCACGATGCTGTCAAGCTTTAAGGCTGTGAAGTTCTCAACGTAGTACGAGCACCCAGGAGTACCATCAGGTATGTTTGATTTGAAGATCCGGTTGCAGAGTCCACCAGACACATATTGACTTTTCGAAGACGGGACCAAGCCCTTCTCGTACTTGGTGCAATTCGGACTCGTCTTTTTGTCAGATGGCAAATTCGGACAAGGGCCACTCAGGCTGAACCAATAGAAGGTAGAGTCAGTCGGGTACCGCACATCCCCGTTCGGCGGATGGTAAGATTGAATCCCAACCAGATCGCCACCTCGCATTCATGTTTGCTCCAACACTACCGCTACTACTGCTACTACTGCTACTACTACTACTACTACTACTACTACCACGACTACTACTACTACTACCACTACTACTATTATGATCATTATTTGTGATTTTCTGCCATTCTCAAAAGAACTTGTTGATGCTTGCCAGGTTTGGGCCATCCTGCTCTCGACAAAAGCGTATGCTTCTTCCGACATGTCATTATGCCAGGCTGCCGGGCATGTTACAATGCTTTTTTGTTCCAGCACTTCTACAGGACGCCCTAAGACTCATGACTACAGTTGCTGATGTTGCTTCTACTGCGAGGCTACTGCTATTGATGATGCAAGGGTAAGAGTTGCTCTGTCCCTGCTTTGCGTTCGGGCCTTGAAAGGCGAACAACTATCCGCAAAATCATTCGCCAAGAAGCTTCTGGCAAACATCTCTGCATCTGTAGCTGGGAGGACTGCACCATCTTCGAACCGGACAAACTTCGCAAACTCAGCTTGAACATCAACATCGCTGGAGGTCTTGTTGTTCCGAACTCGGATTTGGTATTTCACGATGGTGTCAATCCCGTTTTCGCGCGCGGTCCTCAGAGGATCCTTGCCCGTTTCTGCAATAACTTCCGTCGCCAGAAATTTTGCCAAGCCGGATGCATCAAACAAATCAATATTCCCAGGCTTACTGACATCGCTCCCACTCGGCACGGCAGCATACATCTCCAACGTCACATAGGCGGCTGGAGCTTTTGCAGGGATGACCTGCCAGATACAGAATGCCCGTCCAGCAGCAGATCGTGACCCTATCAACTTGTCAACCTTATGCCGTCCACGCCTTCATCTCGCTGTGACCGATGCATGCTCGGAAAGCGCAAAGAACGAAGCAACTCCATGCCTTCATGGCCATCACCAGCACTGCGTATCCAAATACCCTGTGCTTGTTCTGCTGTGGAAAGCATCATGTAACGAAAAGGTATGCCAACTGCTCTTCCAGCCACCGATGCGTTGCACTTACACTTGGCTTTGTCCACGAAATCAATCTTTGAGAAAACGTGCAACACAGTGCGTTCCAATTTTCTTGGTTCTTTTCAACATTCTGTTGGACTACCAGCATGCTATTACAAATACTCAACAACAGCTGCTTTACGGGATGAGCTAATAATTTGCAGCGTGTTGGGCAAAAAAACGTTGTGAAATCCCGAAAAGCCGGCTGCGGCACTTGCACACCGTGTTCAAAACTTTTCAACACCTCAAAGACGCTGTTTGTTGAGTGTGAAGAGCTGAAGCACAGCCTTTCAAAAGAAGTGTGGGTTTGGCAGCAATGGGCTCTCGCACCACATGTCCACGTAACCTTCCAAATGCAAATATGGACTGTTTGACCGAGAACATCATGCGTTCAACTTTTTGATTTAATAAAAAGTAAAAATCTTCAACCTACCAATCAATGTCGTGAAACATTGTGCTAACTGAAGGTGGAGAGCATGCATGTGCTATCCACAAGTCTCGGCCACACACATGACGCATGTCTGCATTCGGGTAAATAATTCCCGAAAGCATCGCGAAGGGTTCTTCCGTGCGGAGCTCTCGAGAAAAGTTTATAGATGACAGACATAGAATCGAGTACATAGATGACATGCACCGGGTGGAGTACATAGAATCGAGTACATAGATGACTTACCAGGACTCTAACTCTATGCACTGCATGCTATGACTCTATGTACTTGACTCTATGCATTTGACTCTATGCACTTGACTCTATGAATCTATGACTCTCTGCACTTGATTCTATGACTCTATGCTATGACTCTACGTACTTGACTCTATGCATTGGACTCTATGCACTTGACTCTATGACTTTATGACTCTATGCACTTGATTGTATGACTCTATGACACTATGACTCTGTGGCTTTGACTCTATGACTCTGTGCTTCTGACTCTATCCGACTTATCTACATCTCGGTATATAATCTCTCTTCTAAAGCCAGGGTGGCACTGTCGCCATCGATCGGGAATGCAACCCTTCACAGGAATTGGCCTGGTCGAGCGCCCAAACGCTAGGTAAAGCTATACATTTTAGGCGCCACGCGCAACCCTTCACAGGGATTGGCCTGGTCGAGTGCCCAAACGCTAGGTAAAGTTACACATTTTAGGCGCCGCGCACAAACCTTCACAGGGATTGGCCTGGTCGAGCGCCCAAATGCTAGGTAAAGTTGCACATTTTTGAAGTTACTAAGCGCCCGCGCAACCTTTCACAGGGATTGGCCTGGTCGAGCGCCCAAACGCTAGGTAAACTTACACCTTTTAGGCGCCCCGCGCAACCCTTCACAGGGATTGGCCTGGTTGAGCGCCCAAGCGCTAGGTAAAGTTACACATTTTAGGCGCCCCGCGCAACCCTTCACAGGGATTGGCCTGGTCGAGCGCCCAAACGCTAGGTAAAGTTACACATTTAAATTACTAGGCGTCCCGTGCAACCTTTCACAGGGATTGGCTTGGTCGAGCACCAAACGCTAGGT